ATACCTATCATTACCAGTAATAAAAAGTGGTATTTATCTTAATAAAAACTGAAAAGAAAAATACTAGCAATTAAATGTAGTGTAAACATAATTTCAAGTAATTGTTCCAAACCTTTAAAGTTAAAAATGGCAAATTTCTTTCTTCAATTTGACATTAACACAATAGATTTAACAACATGAGACGGTTTCTCAAATACAAAAATACTTTTTTTTTCACAACAAGGGTTACAACATTTTATAAGATGTACATTAAAACCTTGTTTGTCCCAACATAGGCTTGTTCTGGTAAATTTCTCATGAAATACAATCTCATTTTTTTGTCGCTAATCTACAACAAGGATATCAGAAATGATGAGCAGAATTTTTTGTTGTTTATATTAAACAACAATATCAAAAATGTTAAGACAAACAAGATCCTAATGTGGTTATGCAAATTTGATACTCTAAAATTAGCTCAACCATACCAGGATGTAGATAACCTGAATGAAACATAGAGATTGTTCAATTATAGACAACTGATGACCACTAACCAAGTTTACCATAAATTTGGTGCTACCCAACCTCATTTGAATTTCATCGAATCAAATCTAAATCTTCTTAATTTTTATCGACTTTTTTTTCTCTTAATTTTTATCGATTTTTTTTTCTCTTTTCAATAAAATGTGTATATGAACCACTATAAATAACTGACTTATAATTGAACAAGCAATGCATTTCACTCAGTTTGGTACTATACGACCAGGAACTAGTATCATATATCTTTTAACATAAAGAGACACCCACTATGGTACTCAAATACAAACTGTTAACACTACATTTGACTAGATTCTTAAAAAATATAAGTTATTAATCACTCTCTTCCTCATTTAGATATATAAAAGATACAGATCAAACGAAGGGACATAACTCATACCTCAGACAAGGGATGTTAGTCATATATTCCAACTATTCTTTTTTTTTTTATTGGTTATCAATTCTGTTTAACCATGTCTAGGTCAATGATGATTCTAGTATGGTCTTCATTATATATGGTAGTTTCTAATTCTGTAATTACACTGCAAGCGGCAGTTTTCTTCCCTAATTTGGCCTTTTATTTCTCAAAAATTGATTTCCATTCTAAGATTCCTCATAATGGTTCTGATATCAAATCCCTGTGAAAAATCTAGGACAATTTGCAAGGTTTTCCTTTTATTTACACTGTTATAGCCTAATTATATAGTAGTTTCAACACATTTAACAACATGTTTACCAATGATATCTTAGCGAGTCTTGACTGATTGACACAATTTTTCATAAGTCAGTTTCAGGCAAAAGCTCTTTACATTATCTCCTAAAATGGTAACAACAAGGTGAAAGAATTGAAACTATTGGCCAGTGTAGTTTTCATATTGCAGGTTGATGCACTTTGAACTAACATTTAAAGGAAAGCTACCAGTAAAATCTCAAGACAAGAACTCTTAAACCAACCACAAGGCTTTCTTAACGAGTCAATCCAACTGAAATCTTTTTCTTACAAGGCTGTTGTTAGTGTCGTCTTCTTTTCTCAAAAATGCAAAACAGCTATATTTAGATATTGCTTTCTAAGGCTACTGTCTCTGCTGGGTGGTCAGTAGTCTTGACCAGGTTCTGGTCAGTCCTCAGGTCACCTCTTGTGCCCCTCTGTGGCCGGACATCACCCAATGTGGTCTGGGGGCAGGAAGTCCACAAGCAAGTGTTTGTGATTCAAACCAGCAATTAATGTGCCTGCAATAGAATTGAAACATCTTTTAGAATTTTTCCTCTAATTTCTCTATTCAAGCAATTCACTGACCTATCTGAATAAGATTTCCCAACTTCTCAGAGGAATTGTTATGAAGTATGTCATATGAAAACATGCAAATTCTCTCTCACTCAAATCTCTGCACTGTAATCACTTAATTAGCAGATCTGTTTTCCACATATCTGCTATGGAAAACTATGATGTCCACCATGTTTGTGATAGTGCTTTCTGATGCTGGAACTGAAATCTGAAAAAATGTTCAGGAACAATTCACATCATTTATTTTTTACCTTTTATAGACTTTAGAAAGTTAGATTTGCATAGGGCCAATGATTTTCCACGGTCGTGGAATCACGGGAAAAAAAATTGCGGAATTGGCATTCTAAAACAGAATTTTTGAAAAATGGGAATCCAAGTTGGGAAAAAAATCTCATATATTCTTATTGAATTCGACTGAAATTCTGTATGCTTTTCCTTCCAATCCCTATTCCTGTGCTCATTTTCATTAATTTATGGCATAGAAAAGTAAATTGTTTGAACCCCTTGAACCGTGCCTTGGATACATTTACAATATCCTGCACCCGACCGCTTTACGTTGGTAACCAAAGTCACATGGTTAGTGCATGTACATATCATGGCTGACGGTGGCAATACGCCGGGCGTTTCGTGTGTGAAAAAACATAGGCTTGATCCTATTTAAAAAGTCAATGCGAAATCTAGGGCATCACAGTTCCCAGACCACTTCTATGATGATGGAGACGTTTTATTTTGCAAATTTTCAAGCACAGCATTGATTTTATCAGAGCTGACACGGTCAAGGATCATATAAAATCCAAGAAACATACAGAGAGAAAAAAGTTGACTGGCTCTAGTCAAACAAAACTTAAACAAACCACTCTCACATCTGTCGTCAAATCTAGCTAGTAGTAACTGCTGAAAAGCATGGCGTTATTATACTACTTAGTACCAAAATTTGAGGAAATATTGTCATTTGAAATTGCTTACATTTTCACATAACATGTGTTGATTATCTGCAGACTGCCAGTCTGCCACTAGTGAATTAATGATCTCAGTCCATATTTGTTTTAATACTACTGCTGCAATATATTTTGCGTATTCTAGTCAGAAAACTAGTCCAACCGAGATATCCTATTCCCAGATAGTTCATGAGTTCAATTATTCCAGTCAGGGAAATTTTAATTATCAAGTCATTAAAGTTTTTGATGACTATCTGCTATGTTTTTGTGTTTTATCTTATGAAACTGGTAAAAAATGGAATTCATGAAAATCTGAAACGGAATTGGTGCAAATTTGAAACGGAAAATCATTGGCCCTATTTGCATATGTAACTTAGCAAACTTTATCAAGTGCAAGGCAGTTATGTAAGTCTGAACATACACAGTGTAACAAATTAATGCATAAACAAACAGCAAAGTCTAATCAGATCTGATACCTTAATAGTCTTAGATCAATTTATCATAGAACAAGACAAATTGATCTTGAACATATGGGCAAAAGATTCTTTTTCTCCGACAATTTATTGTCAAAATTGCATAAAACTTTCTCAAAGAGTTTCATTTCCAAATGCTTTGATCAGATTAGATTGCCTTCCTTTTCAGTTATGCATCAGAGAGACAACTGAATATGGTGCCATTTCAAAAATGATATCACTTTGCACAAAATATCACTTAAAGATACCAGACAGATTAGATGAGAAAGAAAAATCTCGTCCTTGGTGGAACCTGAGATTTCCCAATCTCGAGAAATGTATATCATGAAACTGTATGTATATCAATCACAATCAACATTTCATAAAAAAAATCTCCTGCACTCTTAAGTCTCATAATATCAGATATCAAGCAATTTAAAGCACCATTTCAAGGCAAGCTCTGGCCAAGAAGCTCCAAAAGCACCAATGCAGTAAGCTCACCTATTACCCAGGATTTACTGTACAAATGTTTATCATTGATGGACTAAGAAATAAGTGGCTAGTTAAAGTCTAACAGTTATCAGTTAAATAACTACAAAAACACACACAAATAAAAGACAACTTAGCTATTAATAATGATTTCAAAAAATTAAATTCAGGATAGCATATTTTTCCATTAATAATGATTATTTTTTTACATAGCATTATGAATATGTCACATAAAATCATGTTACTTGTCTCCTGATATACAAATACAAATTTTGATAACTTGGAATCTTATTTTTATAGGAAATGAAGAGCGATGTAAAATCCAATCATGACTATATAGAGATAATTCTATAGAAAAACATGTCATGCTCCCTCTATCATTATATTGAGAGAATGACAATTATTGAAAGGGCATGACCATGGAAACACTATAATAACTGCTGACATTACAATAATTATTATGTGGTATGAATGTCATGTCTGGAAAACAATAACTGAAAAGTCTGCAAAATAGTCAGGTTTGACCAACAGTCATGTCCGACAAATAGTCAGGTCTGACCAACAGTCATGTCTGATTAATACTAATGCTTGACTAATAGTCAGGTTTGACCAACAGTCATGTCTGGCAAATAGTCAGGTTTGACCAACAGTAATGTATGACTAATAGTCAGGTCTGACCAACAGTCATGTCCGACAAATAGTCAGGTCTGACCAACAGTCATGTCCGACAAATAGTCGGGTTTGACCAACAATCATGTCCGACAAATAGTCAGGTCTGACCAACAGTCATGTCTGATTAATACTAATGCTTGACTAATAGTCAGGTCTGACCAACAGTCATGTCTGACAAATAGTCAGGTTTGACCAACAGTCATGTCCGAAAAATAGTCAGGTTTGACCAACAGTAATGTATGACTAATAGTCAGGTCTGACCAACAGTCATGTCCGACAAATAGTCAGGTCTGACCAACAGTCATGTCCGACAAATAGTCGGGTTTGACCAACAATCATGTCTGACAAATAGTCAGGTTTGACCAACAATCATGTCTGACAAACAGTCAGGTTTGACCAACAGTTATGTCTGACCAACAGTTACGTCTGATCAATAGTCACATCTGACCAACAGGTAATGTCTGACTAACAGGACATCAATATTTATCAAATAATATGTTCAACAATACAGGAAAATTACATTTATTATCAATGTTGTGTCATACTGCAAACAAGTAAAAAAGTGCCTTAATGTAAGGCATGACAACATTGAAATATTACATGAATTACCCAAATGTCAGCTCTGACAAAACAAGGACATTATGACAGTTACCAGGGTGTCATGTCTTGGACATGGAGGAATCGGCACCTTTATACTTCTTCTTAACCTGCAGGCAAAAAGACAAGAGCACATATATATTCATCATGCTATTTCTCACTGCTGAATCTCAAATACATGTTTTCATAAACTGGAAAATTATGTATATAGGTAGATTTTTAGTCATGCAAAGATGCCCTGTGATGATAATAATCATCTGTATAGCCTGTTTTATTTCCAGAGATTTGAACAACACTTTATATTTTAAGAACATAAAACATCAAATTTCTAAATGGAATTTAACTCTGAATAAATGTCTTTGATAAAAGAACTACACAATATTTGTATAACAGGCACATAACTCTTCTCCTGCTTTGATCAAAAGAGGGCAAAATGATAGAACAAAGTTTGGAAACTGTGGGCCTTACAGTACGTTATGCTTCAGAGACAAATGAATATGGTGCCATTTAAAAAAAATTACAGCACTTAGCAAAAAATATCACTTAAAGATACCAGACAGATTAAATGAGAACGAAAATCATGCCCTTGGTGTTACTTGCGATTTCCCATATATCATGAAGGGCTAAGTTATCTATATCAATCACAATCAACACTTCATAAAAAAATAATCCTGGACTCTTAAGTCTTCACATTATCAGATATCAAGCAATTTAAAGCCTTATAGTACACCATTAAATGAATAAATCTCAATGTATTTCTAATCCAAGTCTATGAAGAGAAAGTCTACCTCACAGTGACCTATTTCAACCTAACGCTCCTTGGAATGTATCAACATGTTTTATGATTATCGTGTTTCAGATATAAACATAATGGAGCTTAACAATAAAACTGAGCAGTTTAATCATCCAATGTACCCACATCTTAAGCTTCTAGATTGTTGGGCTCCTAGTGAAGAACAATAGAGGTATATGCAAAACCTAACTAAGTCATTAATTGTAGATAAAATTATGGCTGAATGGAAATGGTAAACAATGGAGGCTCCCTATAAGATGATGCAGGGACACAAGAGATATCGAGCACGATCTTGATAGCGTGCATTAGTAGGTATAATTTACACTTAACAAATCCAACACAACACTAGTGGCAGGTGACAATAGTTTGCCTTTAAATGCCACAATAAAAGTGTCAGTCACACATTACAAACTAAACCATGTCTATCATCAATTTAACTTTTCAAATTTCAGTTTTATAGCTATCTGTATTATATCTACCTTACCACCATTTCAACTTTTTTTGTATTTACTTACTTGTGTTTTAGAATATTGATGCTGTAAGCATTAAATAAATGTGTTTTAACAGAGCACTTGTTTATTAGCCGTGTTTATTGCCCTGTGAATGTCAGGGTCATTAATTTTACACATTTCAGATAACCTACAAAATTGTAAGAAAAACTATTTCTACTCTTGTAAACCAAGTTAAACACCACTGCATTCAAGAGTTCATATGATCATGAAGTGTAATCAGAAGATCAATTTTTACAAAATAATCTTTGTCTTCTGGTGACTTAAGTTAGCTGCTATAATGTATCTTAAGACTACAGTACCTAGGAGTTCAACATGTTGTAATTTATCATTGAAATCTGTAGCATCCCTAAATAATAGGCAAAATATGTATCTTCATCATATGTAATAGGAAAGTATGTATTATCACTATATAATAGGAAAGTATGTATCATCACCATGTAATAGGAAAGTATGTATGATCACCATGTAATAGGAAAGTATGTATCATCACCATGTAATAGGAAAGTATGTATCATCACCATGTAATAGGAAAGTATGTATCATCACCATGTAATAGGAAAGTATGTATGATCACCATGTGATCACCATGTAATAGGAAGGTATGTATGATCACCATGTAATAGGAAAGTATGTTTTATCACCATGTAATAGGAAAGTATGTATCATCACCATGTAATAGGAAGGTATGTATGATCACCTATAATAGGAAAGTATGTATTATCACTATATAATAGAAAAGTATGTATCATCACCATGTAATAGGAAAGTATGTATGATCACCATGTAATAGGAAAGTATGTATCATCAGTATGTAATAGGAAAGTATGTATTACCACCATGTAATAGGAAAGTATGTATGATCACCATGTAATAGGAAAGTATGTATGATCACCATGGAATAGGAAAGTATGTATGATCACCATGTAATAGGAAAGTATGTATGATCACCATGTAATAGGAAAGTATGTATGATCACCATGTAATAGGAAAGTATGTTTTATCACCATGTAATAGGAAAGTATGTATCATCACCATGTGATCACCATGTAATAGGAAGGTATGTATGATCACCATGTAATAGGAAATTATGTATCATCAGTATGTAATAGGAAAGTATGTATTACCACCATGTAATAGGAAAGTATGTATGATCACCATGTAATAGGAAAGTATGTATGATCACCATGGAATAGGAAAGTATGTATGATCACCATGTAATAGGAAAGTATGTATCATCACCATGTAATAGGAAAGTATGTATCATCACCATGTAATAGGAAAGTATGTATGATCACCATGTAATAGGAAAGTATGTATGATCACCATGTAATAGGAAAGTATGTATCATCACCATGTAATAGGAAAGTATGTATCATCACCATGTGATCACCATGTAATAGGAAGGTATGTATGATCACCATGTAATAGGAAAGTATGTATGATCACCATGTAATAGGAAAGTATGTTTTATCACCATGTAATAGGAAAGTATGTATCATCACCATGTAATAGGAAAGTATGTATCATCACCATGTGATCACCATGTAATAGGAAGGTATGTATGATCACCATGTAATAGGAAAGTATGTATGATCACCATGTAATAGGAAAGTATGTATCATCACCATGTAATAGGAAAGTATGTATCATCACCATGTAATAGGAAAGTATGTATCATCACCATGTGATCACCATGTAATAGGAAGGTATGTATGATCACCATGTAATAGGAAAGTATGTATGATCACCATGTAATAGGAAAGTATGTTTTATCACCATGTAATAGGAAAGTATGTATGATCACCATGTAATAGGAAAGTATGTATGATCACCATGTAATAGGAAAGTATGTATCATCACCATGTAATAGGAAAGTATGTATCATCACCATGTAATAGGAAAGTATGTATGATCACCATGTGATCACCATGTAATAGGAAGGTATGTATTACCACCATGTAATAGGAAGGTATGTATGATCACCATGTAATAGGAAAGTATGTATGATCACCATGTAATAGGAAAGTATGTATCATCACCATGTAATAGGAAAGTATGTATCATCACTATGTGATCACCATGTAATAGGAAGGTATGTATGATCACCATGTAATAGGAAAGTATGTATGATCACAATGTAATAGGAAAGTATGTATCATCACCATGTAATAGGAAAGTATGTATGATCACCATGTAATAGGAAAGTATGTATGATCACCATGTAATAGGAAAGTATGTATGATCACCATGTAATAGGAAAGTATGTATGATCACCATGTAATAGGAAAGTATGTATCATCACCATGTAATAGGAAAGTATGTATCATCACCATGTGATCACCATGTAATAGGAAAGTATGTATCATCACCATGTAATAGGAAAGTATGTATCATCACCATGTAATAGGAAAGTATGTATCATCACCATGTAATAGGAAAGTATGTATCATCACCATGTGATCACCATGTAATAGGAAGGTATGTACGATCACCATGTAAGAGGAAATTATGTATCATCAGTATGTAATAGGAAAGTATGTATTACCACCATGTAATAGGAAAGTATGTATGATCACCATGTAATAGGAAAGTATGTATGATCACCATGGAATAGGAAAGTATGTATGATCACCATGTAATAGGAAAGTATGTATGATCACCATGTAATAGAAAGTATGTATGATCATCATGTAATAGGAAAGTATGTATGATCACCATGTAATAGGAAAGTATGTATGATCACCATGTAATAGGAAAGTATGTATGATCACCATGTGATCACCATGTAATAGAAAAGTATGTATGATCACCATGTAATAGGAAAGTATGTATCATCACCGTGTAATACAAAAGTATGTATCATCACCATGTAATAGGAAAGTATGTATGATCACCATGTAATGTGAAATCATGCATCTTCACGTTGTAATAGAATGTAGTAAAATACATGTATTATTCATAAATAATTGGTTACTGATAGAGATATTATTAAATCAAATTGGAAAGACAAGTCTCATATTGACTTAAATGACCATAAAGCTATTTCTAAGCATTTTGGACACACTTGAAGTCATCAAAAGCTATCCACAATGCAATCAAAAAGAATATTTTCCAACATCATCACGATGCATGAAATTTCAAATGTTCTTATCTGAAGTAATCTCATGCCAAAGCTTTTCAATTAACCAACAAAAATCAATCTTTCCATGCAGAGTGCCACAACACAAGGCTGATCAATAAGTGACATCTCTGTACTACTTTTTCTAGTGTCTCTATCATACAGTGTAGATTCCTACATAAGGACAAGTCAGTATCTGGCATTTCTATTTCTCACCAAACACCAAGACAGACAAGTCAAAATCTGCTGTTTCTATCTCACAATGACACCTTAGACGAGTCAATATCTAGTTACTCTACCTCACAATAAAACCCCTATTTAGGACAGAACGTGACACACATGGGTAATACTTTATGTCCCTAGTCTTACAAAGATTTGAAAAGGAAGACACACAAAAAACTTAATGTTGTCTAAAAGGTCAAAAGGAAATTTCAGATTGAATATTGGATTGAAAATGTGATTATTTGTTCAACTTTCACCTCATTTATCTGGTAAGCCCATGTCTTGTAACAAGCCTTTCTATGTATATTGCAATTCAATATCATTGACAAATTTTATTTAATTGTCCTGTAATAAGCCCACCCACTACTTTGAGTCACATTGGATGTGTTTGCATCCTGGTCTTATTACAGGCTATATATATACAATTTAAAATCATATAAATGGGCTCAAATTTGATAATTTTCCAAAAATATATATTTTTCTTTGTCATTTTGACATCAGGGATAAATCTAGTTCAAAAAATCTACTAGTATTTAAACCCATGTCAAACTTTTATCTGTTTTGTCATTTTGTTGACATACAAATTAAAATATGGATTAAGAGTACTCATGAATTTAACAAAAATAAATTTCTCAAGAAATTTAATGATTTTAAGGTACTTAAATACATAACGTGTCATTTCAGATGAAAGAGGTCATTTGTATGTAAGGAAATAATCACACATTGAATAAGTTTACCCGTATGTTGGATTTTTTTTTTTTTGGCCTTGTGTTTAACACTAGTTTAAAATAGTATGGCAAGCTAAAGCAGTAATTAGTATGCTGGCATCTGCTTATCATAACCAGTGTACATTAATAGTGGTGCTAGTCTATATATCATTGCAGAAAAGTTATCTGAACTTTGACACAGAAACCAAGATTCTTTGGACATGTAATCTTCAAAAGCAAGCAATATACTTTTGCATTTTGTTCCTGTGGTCCAACTTGAATTTAAATCTTTTAAGACCAGGCAGGCAAAAAGCTGTAGGAATTGTATCAAATGAGCAAATTAGAATAGGCAAGATTTCCTTTACTTCCTACCCATCAATATATACATATTTACTTACCTTGTGTTTAGGACACCACAAGGAGAAATTCTCTTCCTCTAAACTACACCCTGTTAACAGACGAAGCACGAAAATTTGTTATCAATTATCTCAAAGAGTTTTAGCTCCAAGATAAGCATTTTTTTGTATAAGCATTTACAAGAGGCCCAGAGGGCCTGCATTCCTCATCAGAACATTTCCATGATCAGAGCAAATTATTCACATACATGTATATAGTAAATCCATCATACAACAGTCTCTACTGATTTTGATGAAAATCTCAACTGATGTATCTGATTTAATTCTCTGGAAAAAGGGTCTGTACCGTTCTTTCATATTACAAAGAGGTCCTTTCAAAACATTACATAAGAGGCCCTTCATGATATTACACTCATGATCAAATTTGATCAAATACCAAATTTTGAAAAACAATATATATCTCCCATCCTTCTACATCTAGGAGTCGAATAATCTGCTACAATGTTATTGAGTCCACTTTGCTCAAAATGATCATGAACTATTCTTGGTTAATAGCATTTTAAAAACAGGGTAGAAAGACTGACAGAAATTGAAACATGACATAACAGTTTTGTGGATACGTAAGGTTAAATCAAGGACACTTTTTTCCCTGATAGCAAATGAGGTTGTGCTACTGGTGTCACACGCATCTACTTGTTAACCCTGATCTTCAACCAAAACATTGCAGGTATGACAGATTTTAATCATACAGCTTGTTGAGAACCAAGTTTTATCAGAAAGATAATGTCCTCTATAGTTTAAGACTGTCATTATAAAAACATTTAACATATCATGTTCTATGTAACAGTTACTCAGTACTGTTATTATATTTCACATGGGATTTATTTTCTCATTAATTCGCAAGGTGAGTTTATCACCAATACAAATCTCTTGTGATTATTTGTATGAAACTGTTGATGACATCTTTGTTATTCCGGTGTTATCACAAGTTGTTTTAACAGACAGTTCCATTATATATATACATATACGTTATAATATCACCAATAAGAAAACTGCCAGTCATATATTACCCTCCGATTGGTTGTTTTGGTTGTTGAAAAGCTGCTAAAATATTTACAGTAATAGAGCTTAAAACAAGCAAAATATCTGTTTAATTGAATTACAAAATAAACAGAAGGAAAACTGTCAAAGAAGTTACAGCTGGGACAACTACTAAACAATTAGTTTAAATGTGCTTTTAACAGTAAACACTACACAAACACATCTGGACGATCAAAGTCATGTTATCTTACCCTGAAAACAATTAAGCTCACTGCATACTAGCTTGTACTTCAGTAGTTAAAATTCTCAGTATCATATAACTGAATCACTTTTCAGGTAGTTACATGACTCTCCTAAGAAATGGTGGCCAACATGAAGCCAATGGTTGCTGATATGGGAGCTTTTCACAGTCCATGTCTCCAATAGTTCATCCTTCTCCAATTCAAAGTCATTTCTACATCAGCATTTCCGAAATTATGTATTCATGACTACACCCGCAGAGGTGAGTTGGCCAAATAATGTAGTTGTGAAATAACTGATTTACAGTAATCTTATGTTTCCATCAAATATCTCAGCTTTCCCTTTTTGAAACGATGAATACATCATATCACATTCCCCATTTCTGAAATAACCAAGGAGTTCAGCAATCAACATTTTTCTAAATAGCTGCTGAAAGAAATGAAATTTTCCAGAATTGATGTTTACCTGTTTCTATAGCACAATAGAAGTGATATTTTTGTGAGCAGCCCTTATGTAGACATCCCATCATAGCACCAGATTCCTTACACACAGAACACACCTGGAACAAGAAAAGGACATCTTACATACTGATTATACCTGAAATGTGTAGATACTTTACACATCAAACACACCTGTAATATATACTTTACCTAAAGAGCACACCTGTAACATGTGAAAATATCTTGAATACCAGGTCCTATTCTCCTTGTACATTTTCAGGAGCCTCTTTGTAAATCTTTCTTTTGTTCATATTTTGCCCGAGATTGATTTGAATTATGATTATGTTGACATGTTGGTATTTTCTTGATGTTTTTGCATACGGAGCACATGCTATATACATAACACACCTGTAACAGGTACAGACACTTCATGTACATTACACACCTGTAACAGGTACAGACACTTCATGTACATTACAAACCTGTAACAGGTACAGACATTTTATGTACAGTACACACCTGTAACAGGTACAGACACTTTATGTACAGTACAAACCTGTAACAGGTACAGACACTTTATGTACAGTACAAACCTGTAACAGGTACAGACACTTTATGTACAGTACAAACCTGTAACAGGTACAGACACTTTATGTACAGTACAAACCTGTAACAGGTACAGACACTTTATGTACAGTACAAACCTGTAACAGGTACAGACACTTTATGTACAGTACAAACCTGTAACAGGTACAGACACTTTATGTACAGTACAAACCTGTGTACACTTTAGGTACAGTACAAACCTGTAACAGGTACAGACACTTTATGTACAGTACAAACCTGTAACAAACCTGTAACAGGTACAGACACTTTATGTACAGTACAAACCTGTAACAGGTACAGACACTTTAGGTACAGTACAAACCTGTAACAGGTACAGACACTTTATGTACAGTACAAACCTGTAACAGGTACAGACACTTTATGTACAGTACAAACCTGTAACAGGTACAGACACTTTATGTACAGTACAAACCTGTAACAGGTACAGACACTTTAGGTACAGTACAAACCTGTAACAGGTACAGACACTTTATGTACAGTACAAACCTGTAACAGGTACAGACACTTTAGGTACAGTACAAACCTGTAACAGGTACAGACACTTTATGTACAGTACAAACCTGTAACAGGTACAGACACATTACAAACATTTCACACCTGTAACAGGTACAGACACTTTATGTACAGTACAAACCTGTAACAGGTACAGACACTTTATGTACAGTACAAACCTGTAACAGGTACAGACACTTTATGTACAGTACAAACCTGTAACAGGTACAGACACATTACAAACATTTCACACCTGTAACAGGTACAGACACTTTATGTACAGTACAAACCTGTAACAGGTACAGACACTTTATGTACAGTACAAACCTGTAACAGGTACAGACACCTTACAAACATTTCATACCTGTAACAGGTACAGACACCTAACTGTTATAGATATCTAAATACAGTACACTGGGTGCCCCAATAGTGGAATAATGATTAAGGATATTGAGTGGTGTCTATATACCTCACTGAATAACATACCAACAGTTTTAAAGATTGAAGTTGTAATACATCAGACCATTAATATTGTAGGTCAAGGTCAGAATGATTTCAATGAAGTCATCAGATGGAACAAGAGAATTAAGGTTTTGTACATTACAAAATTATTTACAGTGAAACCTCATCTAATGACTACCTCACTATTATGGGCACTTTTTCCATCCTGTTCTGTTTTCGCTATATCTCTTTGTATTGGTGGCTTCAGTATTACGACTACTTATTACAGTCCCTGCAACCATTAATTAACAGTAATTAACCTCACAATTACATTCAAGCTCTGACCAGTGATAAATTTGTACATTGATCTCGACCATTGTTTTCACCAAATGTTACCGACCCAGCCACCAGGTGGCATTACAGGATGCAAACATCATTATAAAAATAACTTGGTCTACCCATGTGAAACTGCATGTCAGACACGTTTTAATAGCAATCTATTGCTTGTTAATAATGTATTGATACTTCGAGAGGTATGCTCTTAATCATCGTGGAAGCCTTGCAAACCCAGAGGTGAGTTATGTAAGCTTTTCAGCCAATATATTTCTTTGGTCGCATGCGAACAAGATTACACTCTCCATATCGTTTAAATAATCAAAGATGTGCCTATTCCTAATTTTTTACAAAATATTTTCAGTCACTAAATTTTAATCAACTTTATCATGCAATGACGACACCACAGAAAGGAAACAAGCTATTGCTCAAGAAGACAGTTGAGCTGATTCATTTAAGTAATAGCTGTAATCAGCGGCAACTTGCCAAACAGTTTTGTATTGGTAAAGCTCAAAATTTTAAACCGTCTTGAAACGGAAAGCCGACATCTTAGAGAGCTATGAGGAAAACAAGGGAAACGACAGACAGAAAATGATTCTGTGTTAGATCACCATTAGAGGAATTTAATGAAGTCATATGGGAATGGTTTCAACGGAAACATGCTCAGTACATTCCCATCTGTAATCCCTTAAATTTCATATTTCAACATTGAATTCCTCCTGAACTTAAAGTTACTTGTTTGTTTTCTTTTATTCAATGTTTACAATAGTAAATGTACATGTATATTACAATATTTAAGTAACAATGGAATATATACACATATAGGCTTTTGTTAATTCACAAATTTTGTTTATATGATTTACTTGCATTTCATAAATGTCAACATTTTATATACAGTTTAGTAAATGTTCAGTACTTAATGATATACATAGTTTTCATTTTAAACAGTTACAGATCTTGGCAGTCAATCTGGTACACATCACTATTAAGACTACATTTTGCCAGTTCCCACAGTAGTCTTAATATCGAGGTTTTACTTAAGATGAAAACATAACAATAAATAACATTGCAAAGTCAAATTCTCAGACATAATATTTCAATGAAAAAGTGAAACAAATATTGCAGTGTTTCCATTTACAATTATTTAAATTTCCCATTTGTATATGGCACAGCGAGAGGACAAGAGAAACCTATTTTACTGCATCTGAGATCAAGTCGTAAGTAATGACCTTACCTTCACATGATCTGAGATCATATGCGCCATCGATATAGATATGTATATGTACATGTAAATAAAATATCCCAGACAACAACGAATGATCTTCATTGATTTTATTCCAGACTGACCTTTTTTCTACTTATCCCACCTTTGCCCTTTTCCTCTTAATTATTTGATAATAAGAGAATCCCATATATGAAATCTATAAAAGATCTACATTTGTAACAAGAACTTTCTAAGAAATAGTTCAATGATCAAAATCAAAGAAGGCCTCTGGTTAGCCATTTTGTTTTCTTGAGCAGATACATAATTAAATTGGCACAACTTGGGATATATACTTATACATCAAGTTTAAGAATTATCAATAAAAAAAATTCCAGTGTCAAAATCCAAGATGGCAACTACTTCGCCATTTTGTTTAACTGATCAGACACAAAACTGATTAGGCACAACTTGGGACCATGTGCAACTTACATATGAAATATGGGAAACATCCCTCCAGTACTTCTCAAGAAAGAAAATTAACAAGGATTGTTTCCAGATGTAGGCAAGACCATGGACAAACAGCAATTAAAACACATACCGTCTGATGATGTTGTGACTAAATATCCAGGTCCAGTCTTTGGTAAGTAACCTTTCATGGTTTACTATGATAACTAACGTGTGCATAGGATCATGAATTTTGATTATCAAATCTAATATTTAGAGGCAAAGACATACCCTAAAAATCAATATATTTTCAGAATTGAAGATCTAAGTTCAAGTGTCCTTACATATTAGTCTATCATAAAGATATGTATTCTATGGAAATGGATTAAAAAATTGAATGGCAAATTTTTGATCTACTATTAAAGCTCAACACGCAGTGAGAAACTTAATCATTAAACTTGGGAAAAACAATGAATGGGAATGTATCACTTGCTATTTGAAATCTATTTTCCTGTTACATACTGTACTTTATAGTAAAGAACTGTTATCCAGTCCACATACTTACCATAGATGAAGCTATTCGTGTAGCCTCCTCTAAGCCATACACTTTCTGTCCTATGAGTAGTACCCCATCAGCCCAAGCAAGACAATCCTCATGGACCCACACTTCCCTAGGAACCCTTGAGGTTCCACAGTCTGACTTCTTGCACTTTGACCTCTTTGATTTATCAGCACCATCACAGAATGTATTGTCCTCGGACTTGCGCTTTTTAGATTTATTCCCACTACCATCTTGTAGAGGACTCTCTTGCACTTTTGGCAATGGCAGATTGCCCTCTGTGTAATAGGGTCCAAATAAATCTCCCAGAAATTTATAACTACTGTGTTTCTTACACAAAGCACAAACCCAGGTTGTTTCGTCTATCACTGAACTGCCCGGGACCATCACAGACTTCTCCGTTGGGAGCCGTGATATATGCACTGTTGACACAGCCACTGATGTAGACCGTTTCTTATGCTTGCTCGATTTTGAGTCCACTTGCATATCACTTTCAAGTTGGTTTACAACTGAACACTTAGTAGGGTTGTCTATAGTTCCTTCCAACCGAATAAAAGGACCCACTGTGCTGTCTCTGTTTACTGCTGGTTTTTTTCTATGTTTCTTTTTCATTAAGGCTAATGTTCTTTTAATTTGGACATCCTCAATGTCTTCATCATTTTGAAATCCTCCTCTACTTTTAGACTTTTCTAATTTTTTAAGTTTTCCTTTACTACTTCTGGACCCTTGACGTCTCCCACATCGCTTTTTCGTAGTGGAAGATTTATTTGAAAACACATCACTACTTTTCTCAGAGTTCTCTTTTTTGACACTACAGCTTGTTTTGGGGCTTTCTTTTTTTACACTACAATTTGGTTTGATATTATTAGCTTGAACATTTTCTGTGATTTTTTCAATTTTTACCACTGGTGTGGTATGGGGATTTGATGAGGCCCCAGATGGGCATGAAGGTGTGGAAGAAACCAAAGGAAATGTCTCAGCAGTGTTGTCTTTTACACAATCAGTACTGCACTGTGTAATTCTCTTGTCATTGTCCTCTGATAACTCCTCATCTGAATCTAACACCACAACAGCTTTGGCAGATTTATTTTTTTCGGGAGGATTCCCACTTGGTTTTCTGGTCTTTTTACTCTTTACTTCCACCTCTCTTTCCTCATCTGAATCTAGAATATAGTCCCCTCCGTAATACATATCACCAGCATACTTTAAAGGCGACATCCTAGGACGCCTCTTTCTCTTTGATATTTGTACATCTGAACTTTTTACTATTGCAGGACTGTTTGTATCAGCTTGTGACTTTTTCACCTTGTTTCGAGCAGGAAATGGCTTTACATTACCAGAAGATCTAGTTCCAAAGTTCTTTTTAACTTTCCTAAAATTTAGTCCATTGTCCTCATCCTCATTATCAGAAACCATATCAACATAGTCCTCCATAAGCTTAAGAGGTTTGTCCTTTCGCGATTTTTTTAAGAGGTCGTGTTTGTTTTCGTTAAATGAGTCAGGGTCATGTGACAACTTGTCTGATAACAGTGGTTTTGACAAGCTCTCTTTGGTTGAAAATTTATCGGAGTTGTGAACCCCATCACTCACATCATTTGACATGCCTGCAGTATTGCCCTTCCAGGGCGCGTTATCGCTTTTTGTGTCAGTAATACTGCAACTAAAATCTGGTTCAATCTTAGAATCTTCATCTTCTTCCTCTGAACTATCTTCCAATGATAAAATATCTGGACTTTGAATTCCATTCAATAAACTATTTCTAGACACTTTACTGTATGTTGCTTTTGTGTCCTTCCTTACCATGAGTATACCATCATCGTTGCTGTCCGAATCACTGTAATTGTTGTAGTAGGCAGCGTTATTGGCCAAACGAGCAGGCACTTCACGCAAAGACATTGTCCGTTCAGGCTGTGTTCTTCTAGAATTTAGCCTGCTTTTGGACAGATTTTCACTTTTATCTTTATTCAAATTTACTCCATTACCAAAAGTGGGAATGAGGTCTGATTTGGAATCTAGGTCTCCTGGTGTTTGTTCAGATGTGTTATTCTCAAATTTATTGTCATCGTCTTTTTTAAATTCACTTTCAGCAGAAACTACAGGAGAGGATGGCACAGATGATGGCTTAGCTGATTCAACACTTGTATTTTCACTTGTCTCGAGTTTATCACAGACACGGCTGCATTTCTCTAACTTGATGCACATTTCTTCCTCAGTATCATTTGTTTGGCTGTTTACTTTCTTTTTTGTATGATTGGGAAGTTTTAATTTGTCCATGATCCCATCATCACCATTTAGAACACAATCATCAGAATAGACAAGCTTAACATCACAGCTTAGTGACCGAGCTCTGCTTAGAACATTATTGGGTGACCGCCTGTGTTTAAGCAGGTGTTCACCAATATCCTGGCTTTTCATCTCCTCAAGAACTTCATCAGTCAGGGCACTTTTTTGTGACATGCAGGGCGAGGTTAAGTCAGTTTGAATGTTACCATTGACAATAGCTTGCTGACACGTCATATTCTTTAAATGGCTGTTTACTTTCATGTTTTCTTCATCCTCAGAACATTCAGGTTTACCAATCATATCAGAATTGGCTATGAGAGGGGGAGGGGAATTTGGTTGGTCACCAAGGGGACAAGAAGAATGAACGCTCTCTTTATCACTGTCTTTGGCATCTGGTCCTTTGTCCTTGGAGATTTCAGAATCACCTGAGCATTGACTGTCTTTATCACATGGTGGAGGTTTCACTTCTTCAGTGGTCGTAGCAGAATTCTGATCTTTCTCATTACAATGCTTGCCATCAACACACTGACTGGACTGATTTGAACCCAATGCTGACCCACATCTACTGTCACTCTGGGAACTGCCTGGACCTCCTGAACCCTGAGAGTCAGCATTGGTTTCCAAGTTTTTTGAGTTGTCACGTGATTGTGGTGAAGGAAGACATGCATCGTTAACTACACTTTTTGGATCGATCACTTGCTTCTCAGGCAGCATGCACAACTTCTGTAGTGACAAGAGGGGATTGTTCCCTCCTGTAGCAGGTCCCTGGTCCCTAGGGTCCTGGGAACCATCACTAATGTATTCCCTGGTGGGGTGGGGGCTGGTATACGGGTCTTGCTGTGGGGGACTGTGAATGGAAGATTTGGACAGTGGTGTGAAAGGAGAGCTAATCTGACTAGCAGGTGGGCTGATTGGGTTTGTTTTAGGAGAGTAACAGCTGAGGTTCTTCTGTTGTGTTGGTGACTGTCCTGTATATGGCATAAGGTTTTGACTGGACACAGAGACATGCAGCTGCTGGTTTACAGGAGTTGGAGAGCATATGCTCTGTCCAGCATTCATTGGCGACTGCATGGTACATGGTGACTTGAGGCCCCCTATTGGGGATTGTGGTGGTACAGGAGATTTCACGCTGCCCCCTGCACTGGCAGGGTGTTGGGTTGGACTCTGTATGGAACGTGGACTGGAGTTAGGCAGACTTTGGTTACTGTGATGAGAGGCAGGACTGTGAATGTAACCAGGGCTAGGGCTAATGGGTGAAGTCCTGGAAGGGTGTGAGTGATGAGGGGAGGAGCTTGGGTACATAAATTGATGCCCCCCTTGTGGCCCCTGTAAATGTTGTTGTTGCTGGTGAGTGGGACTGCTGCCCTGGCTAGGCATGGCATAGTGAGGGGAGTTCGGCACATGGTATGGCGCATGGCGGTTTTTGGACAATGGAACTTGCACAGTCTGATTAGGTTGATAGGCTGCCGTCATTTGAAGGATGGAATTAGCCACATCCTGTGGACTTTGTACCTGGCCACCACTGTGCATCATGTGGGATGGAACGTGGCCACTCTGTTGTTGTGTCTGTGCCTGTTGTTGATGATTCTGCTGCTGTTGTTGTTGTTGCTGCTGCTGGCGTCCTGAGTGTGGCATACTACCTGATCCATAATTTCGACCACTTGTCATAGGTCCATATCCACTGGACATCTGACTGTACTGACCTTGGCCATAAGGTCCCTGACTAACCGATCCCGATCCTGGTAGTCCCCCATAGGATTGAGCCATATAGTGTTGAGCTGTTTGGTTGTGTCCGCGGCTGTACATACCATCGGAATACTGCCCATGCATGCTTGGCACCCTCTGACTCCTGTTGTCATAGTTTCCAGTCCCTTGGTTCTGGTAGTTGGCAATGTTCTGTTGTGGCATTGATGGCTGTGAAAATTAAAGAAGTCTTTATCAGTCAAAGTTTTAGGATCATAATTATTCAACAATAATAACTCTATGTCTGGTGTGAAGCTCATTCATATATTTTGCAGTTTCAGCAGCAATAACCCCAAGAGACCCACAGGCCTACAAAGTCACCTCACTACAAAGGCTTATAGCAGGGAGAATGATTATCACTTTGACATTCACACCATAAATCTGTAGATCAGTAATCATTATTGGCTGGCAGGAGCTGGGTCATTTTACAATATAGGTTTAAGAATTTACACTGTGTTGCTGCAGATTTACTCTTTCTAAGCAACTGAAAGCTTAAATTGATAAAAAAAAATAACACGTTTTACATATCAGAAATTTTTGAAGTTCATGGGGCATAATTCTATAAAATATCATTTAACCCAACTCAACTGAGAACATGACCTGCATTTTTCAATACATGTACACACCGAATTTCAATTCAAAATGTTGGAGATAATGATCAGAAACTATAAATTGCTTCAAATTTTCAAAGTGCAAGGTGCATAACTCTGTCAAAATAAATTCAACCTGTACTTGAAATAGTGCAAATGTTGACAGAGACAATGACATCAAAAAAAAACAAAAGTTCAGAAGTAAATATAATTTTTAGATTGCCTTAATTTTGTGAAAACTACACACTGAAATTTTACAAAAATCAAATTTGACTTAGATTTTTAATATTTCAACATACAAGCTAAATATATTTAAATTCTGCTGAGGCATTCTAAGGTTTCTAAGGCAAGGAAGGACCATAATTCTGGCCTAGATTTTGATGTTTCAACAAGAGTTTACGCAATAATATTCAATTTAGCAGCATACAACACAAAACACAGCAACAACATAATATTTATCAACATTAATAAAATTTAAATCCAATATCTATATAGGTATCTTCCCTTAGTGATGTTTATACTTAGATGTTGATTACACACAACAGTTTCATCTACTCAGGTGTTGCAACAATGATGTTTTGTTTATATTTTGTTATTGGTGTTGTTATTGGTGCCCCGCCCACCCTATCCCCATGGTTTGGACCAATCTCATTTATTTAAGAAACAATTTCCTTCTCTTAATGATATTTCACACCAAAGTTGGTTGAATCCACTCACCGGGCGGGGGGTAGATGTTGTGAAGGTGAAGTGTTTTACAGGAAAATTTCTTTGTCATATTCACTCTTTAGGGTGTCCCACCTCAGGATTCAAATCAACAATATTATGAAGTAATTGCCCATCCCAAATGATGTTTCTAACCAAACTTGGTTGACATCCATTAGGGCATTAAGTAGCATTTTAAAGCAAAACTTTAGAAATCACATTTTGGACATCATCCAGTCCCAAAGGGTTAAATCAAGTTGATTTACATAATAAGTGATTGTCTACACCACTGATGCTTCAGATCAAATTTGGTTGAAATTGGTTCATGGGATTAGAAGGATTAGCATTCTATAAAAAAAAACTTTACAGACAGCAAAAACGCAAGACAATAACTGCAACACAATAGCAATAGGTCATCCACACCCTCCATGTCAGATGACCTAATAATAATATATTTTTGTCCTATTATAGGCCTATATACCCAGTACCAGATTTGCTAACACAATTTGCTTTCAGTCATTCTCATACAATAACTACACAAGCTACTTTTTATGTATTTGGCTGGAGGTTGTGTTTATTACCACCTCCTTGTTTCAATTAAGTTTTGTATGTAATGCTTGGCATATAACAGTCTTAAACAGTAGAATTCTGCACATAGTGGTTAATTCAGAATGGTGCTCGCCTGATAAAAAAGCATGATGGCATAGATTATGCAACCATTTCATGTGCCTTTCAAACACAAAATTTTTTGCTATTCCTTTTTTTAAACTATTGAATCTAAATAACTACTATATAATCAATGATCACATAATGTTAGGAATGGAAGTTTAATTCTATTTCTTGTCCCCTGATTAGGACATTTTCACGTATAAATGAAGTAAAACATAAAAACATTCACAATATCATAAAAACATGCTTTCAGCAGGTGTTGTTCTTCAGTATTAAATACTTCATTCTAAAGTTAACTCGTTTCTCACTTCATCATTAGTAACTTATTCTATTTCAAGGTTTTCTAAATATAGCAACAAATTAAAAAGTCCTTCTATTTAAGAACTAAATATTATACGAGCTGTTCTGATGCTACCATTCTAGATAGACATTGAGAAGTTGTTGCTATCATTTTTGTACATTCAACATGATTCATACAGACATCTGCCTGATGGCTGACAAATATGACGACTCATGTGTTTCTATCTGCTGTGATGTAATCATGTAAGCACTTCAACTAAACATGGCTTAATCAATCCATGCTTTCAAACTGATGCTAATATTTCAAGAATCAATTATCACCAGCTTTCCAACATTAAATCTTCTTAAAATTGTTCATTGCTGGACAGTAGACAAACTACACTATTTCTTCAATCCAAAAGACTTGGAAAGAAGAAATATCAAAAGACATGTACAATCTGCTATAGGGTCTTTGTTCCGCCAGGATATGAAATGATTCATTGGGATTCCCATAATCACCTTCTATCTTTTTACTTCTTGGTATCTAAATCCCAAAACATAAAACGTCAGAAAAATACTATCTTTTTATTGCATTCATGATCAACTCTCTTAAATCTTAAGATTTCAATTTCACCAGGGAGATAATGATTATAGGACCTCGGGAGTAACATTTCTGATGATAATGGATTTAATTGGGCGATAGAACTACTGTATATCACTTACCACACAGATTTCACAAATATTTTATTTCGTTAACTCACCTCTGCAGACATATTCACGAATATAAGATTTCGCAAACACTGGTCTAGAAATGACTTTGAATTAGGCGAATGATGAGCCCACATTTGTTCTCAATCGATGAACTTTTAAGACATCAAACAGACTCTTCTCTACAATATCACATGTTGACAACCTAAGAAATCTTGTTATGTTGCAAAATAGTGTATAGAACAAATCAATATTTAGGCCCGGGATTCAGAGCAACAGATATGCACCAAACATGCCAACAATCTTCAGCTAGACCTTACTCCTTTTAACTCAAAATATTGGGTTTCTGTTTAAGTGTTGATCAGATGAATAGATCTAATTGATAATTTGTTATTAAATTTCCGATAATGACTAACCTTCGTTAATTATGAGACTTGACATGAAAACTAATTAATTCTTTTACCAAAACAAATTACCATAACAATCTCTTTTCTGATTGCTTGTATTCTAAAATATCCACCACATTTAACTGTTAATGGAAATTTCTCCTCCATTTTATATTTCTGAAATGGTGATGACAGATACTGAATTTTGAAGTAGCATAGATTCTACTCTATCCACCATGTAAGTAGCTCTAGGGGCTAACAGTTCGGACTTTGGCTCAATATTGAGAAATAATATAGCATTTGTTAGCATTGCTATTGAATATAACACTGTAAAATATCTAATTATTAATATTATGTAGACACATTTTCCTTGAATTTGTTGTTTGTCTAAATCCCAAATAGTATGTTTAAGAAATGATGAACAGACAAAAATTCACATGGAGTTGCAGATTTCAAAATCAAGTGCAAAAATGCATATTTTTTGTATAACCATGAAATTTATGCCCAAATTGTATTTATGTATGAATTTTAAATATTTTTTATATGTGGCCTGCCATGGGTTGGATTATTACTTGTGCAGCCTTAGTCGCCTTATATTGCTAGATCAACACAGAAATGAATCTGTTGTATAATGTCTAGTAAGGACTCTGTGTATCACGAAGCCGTAGGATATATATATATCCCTTATATACATATATGTACCTGTTATGTTTATGCTTACTGACATTTGTATTAAGTACACCATCTATATCAAATGAAAACAACAAATCTTACCCTTAAATTTGTTGAAATGCAAGGTTTCAAAGAGATAATATGCACATCTCAACTTAGTCCTAGAAATGTTTTCCTATGGAGATGACTGATTTTTCTATGTACATTCTTGGCAGATATACCAGTATAAACGAGATCACACAGAATGTTACTGATTCTACCTTGTCACCTTGTATCATCTGACACTGTGACACCATGTCACTGGATCTATGGTCTCAACAAAACAGCACGCTTTAATTGATCTCAGGTCTGAGCTACTGACTAGGGCTAGAAATAGCTTCACACACTAGCCATTCCCTCTACCGGGAGATCCTACATCTCCTGGACAGCTGTATGTATACTGTAATACTTCATTAGGATATTCTGTCATTGACCAGACACTGTAATCATTTATAAGTCCTTTCCTTGTGAACCCCCACCCCCCTTTTTTTTTTAGAAATATCAAAACGTAATGCAGAGTATAGCATATTAAACAAACATCAGTATCTGCAAAATTCATGCTTCATTTATTTGAGATAATAATCTGGAAATATGTTTTTCTTAGTTCAGATTTTAATCTTTTAAAATTAGCTTTGTTAATTTTCCTTTTTTGTGGAGCTTGCTTCAACCTGACGATTTTCCAAAAATGTAAACAGAATAATAAACAAAATATTAACTTTAACAAAAATTTGACATAAGAAATCAAAATGACACAACAGTAGACTGTGTTATTTGAAATGTTTCAACACAAGTATTAATCACAGTGCCAGGTATCTTTTCTGTCATTAATTCTAGAAGTAGCCATGTGAAATTTAATCTACAGATGCTATTCTATTGATCAATATCAACACTTTTGTTTCGCCATGGAAAAACAATCTTGACAAAGGTAGACGATTATTGGAAGCAGAGACGACTTAACATATAGCAATTTTCTACTAGGCATTGCAGATACTGATTGATTTTCAGCATTAAAGCACACAAATTTGATGAAAGCTAATCTGTATATTTCAAACTGCAGATGACATTTTTTGGTGTTCCTTAATTGATTTTCAAACAGAATCTACACATAGTGTAGATCTCTATAAGGGTATCTTATCTGCAAGACCTGAAGACTTTTCAGAGAATAAGACAGTTTCGCTCTGTATATAAACATTCATTACACAGAATTATATCATTACAACATCCTATTCAAAACCTAGAATATTTATGTAATACCTCCACAGCTAAGTGCACTCTTTTAGAACACAACTGATATAGCTTGAGGTCTATTTCGGGTCAGAAAACAGACAAATCTGTGTACTCTTAGATACACATCCTGTTAATATCAACATGTTCATAGTATAGTTCATTTACAAGGTGCATCCACCAGCAAGTTTGAAACTACATTGCCAATCCTGCCATTTAATCTATGTAACATGGGATTGTTTTTATATATTATTTGCCTATAATAGTTATAACTATATCATTTTTATAAAACAGATACCATTTCTGGTATAGAATTATATCTGCTTATCAATGAAGTAACACTGCAATGATTTATAAAGATGGTGCTGTTTGGTGTTAATATGAGGGAAAAAAGAAAGAGCACAGTTAGTAATTATCTTATTTAAATAGAACCATCCTATAAGTAAGAATGACAATCTGACAATCAAGTTTCATTACCTAAAAGTGAGTGAGGTTTCTTAAAAATCCCTCAAACAATGCAGACAATGATTTTCTGAAAAAATTACGTTGACCTTTAACTTGTACAATTAACCCTGAAACTCAAACTCGTTCGAGATTTTTCTATGCTTAATTAGTATGTGAGGTTTGATGGGAATCCTTCAAGGAATAAAGCCATTCAAGCCCTGACAAAGATTTTTTAAAATCAGTAACAGTGACATTGACTCAATAACCCTGGAACTAAAATTTTTCAAGACATTTTGATGCTTAATAAATGTGTGTGAAGTTTAATGAACATCTCTAAAGGAATGAAGCCACTACAGCACTGACAATGATTTTCTGAAAATAGTTACAGTGACCTTGACCCAACAACTCTGATGCTTGATGCTTAATAAGTGTGTGAAGCTACATGGAAAAATCCAGATGCAGGGACAGACAGAGGAAAACTATAGTCCCAAGCCCCTCCTAATTAACACCCCCAGGGTTTCATCGATAAAAGACTAATGAAAACCAGAGTTCAAGCAAACTCGCTATAATGATACTTTTCTCACTTTGTTTATTCCAAATCATAAAGCTCATGTTTTTTTCTTTATTTAATTAACAGTATTTTGTGAATGGTAATAAATACATATCATTTCAAACTATAAGTGACCCTTAGGGGCTAACTTACACCCATGCATTTGGGCTACTAGTCTTCAATGTAGGGATTTTGAAAATGAGTAAATATATAAAAAGTATTCAGGGGCATTACTCTGGTAAGAATTGCAGTTTTACCTTGACCTCTGATTCAGTGACCTTGACTTTTGATCAGTTGACCCTTGTTTAATAATGTCCAACATTGCTTTATATTGTCATACCAAGATATGCATCAGTTAAAAGATACCAAATTGACCTTGACCCCTAACCTTTGTCCTAGTGACCTTGACATTTAGTTGTTATCTTCTTGTTTTATGCCAACAAACTTTGCTTCATAATGTCGTAACAAACAAAATCTGTTGAATGACCAAGGAGCAATGGCCATCTATAGTAAAACCTGTTTATAATTACCAGTTACTATGGCAACCAAAATTTTAAAAAAAAGTTGCATGCACATCTAAATATTGTCCTTTATATTGATATTAAGTTTTATTGGAATCAGTTCACCAGTCTAGGAGTTGCAATGACAATATTTGTGGATTACTGACATCCAGACAGGGTAATTTCATAATACACCCCCCTGCCCCCAACCATCAACTTCGTTGTATATTTTTTGTTATCAAATGTGTAATTTTTTTAGCTGACAAAATTCAAATTTTATGCCATGCAAAAGGTTATCACTTTGAAAATATTTCTGTCAAGACCAATTAGATTTGATATTATACTATTACACTTTCATCTTTACATACCATTGGTTGTGAGTTTTGGCCTTGATAGCTTGTGGGGCCAGTTCCACCCCCAGGCATACGCCCTCCTCCTCCAGGGGGATACATCTCTTCATGGTAATGATTCTGATTTAGTTGCCCTGTGGGAAGGAAATATGAAGATAGTATAAAACAAGCAAAACTGATGGTTAAGGTTTCAGGTAAGTTAAGATATTGCCTACTTTAACATTCACTGACCAGTATTAACATTTTTAATCATTAACAAATGGATGCTAAGGTCATATATCTACTTATTCATATTGTAATAAATATGTTTCAAACATAGATAATGTACAAAAGATATCCAATGCTGAGTGAAGGTGTAGGGAATATTGTTATTATTTATCCAGCAATAACGTCATGGCATTCTTAGTAGTAAAATTTAAAATTCAACCCATGTCTTTTGTCCCGTAATAAGCCTACCCTCTGACTTGTGAGACAGAAGTCTTGTATTAGACTCCTGGGCTTATTGCAGGCTTAAATAGTTTATCATTCAGTACATGCAATAGGTAAAAAAATTTGTTTCATATGCTGATACATAACATATTTGGGTAAAAGTACAATTACACTGATGGTAAGGGTGGATCTACTGAGTGATGAATCATATTATACTTAAAATGAAGTTACAGAAGAACTTTCATTTTTTTTATCCCTTTGTTCCAGTAACAATTGATTGAGAAAGCAATGATATTGAAAAGTAATATCTAAACGAATTTTTGTGATGAACTTCTTAAATGAATGCTGTATCATCAACAGTTTATTTTGTGATTTCCTACCAATAACATAGCATAAAAGATGATACATAAGTGAAAAATTTGAGAAACCAAAAATTGGAATGAACAGTTATCTCCCTCCTAAAACTATTTATCTATTCCACATAAATACAGCCACAATACAAGCCTGTTCACAAAGTACCATCACTCCATACGTTGTTGACCTAGAAGATTTTAATGGAGTGTCACTCAAAATAAATTTGTGAACTTCTGACCTTGGATGGAAAAGGAAGTATATGGCTTAAGTGACGGTAAACAACTGGAATCATGGTAGATATCTTGTTATGTATACCTGAAAAAACTACTAAAGATTCATTTATTTCTGAAGGGACTTGTATAGATATAGTGTATGACATTTAGGTGTCATATACATGGCCATGTGATAGTACATTGACCACATTGTAAATATATTATCATACTGTATCTAACCTAAAAAAAAACAATGTCTGAAAACACAAACTTATTGAAGCTTTGTAAAAAGGAACTGATACTAAGGGAAGCTAGAAGGTCTTAGTCTGTATTGACAGAAGAATGAGATTAATTTAGCAATATCACCTTTTATGTAGTACAGCCATTCTCCTTCTCAGAAAAAGTGTGAGGTGAGCTTACAGGTGTACATCTTAGGTAAAATACAGTATTTAACTATGTACTTTTGTACATTTTGTTTACTTGCCAAACAAGATGACAACAGAGTTCTTCCATGTAGAAAGGCCTCCCAATGCACTACAAACAATTACCTATTTCACCAACACATTTTACGTAAAATGTTATATTTTTGTACACATACAGACTGAAAATGAGCACCTAAAATTACAAAAATAAAAGAACTGACCAACATTTATTGAAAGAAACTTTCAAGAAAATATCATCTGATAAATCTTATTAATAAGCAGTGAGCTAAAATTAGACATTGGCTAGAGGTACAGCAACACAATTCACCTTTTGTTTGGTTAATATATACTTTGAGTTGTGTATATCAATGCAGTTCTGTTCAACAGGTCACCAACTCACGATTAGAAACATACAGCATCTTGTTATATGTGTAGAACGTGAGGAACCTATGTCTTTGTGCAAAAAATTACTGTAATTATCCTGCTATAAACCCAGGGAACTAGCATATTACCTCTGACCCAAAATCAGGGGATGGGCTTATTACTGGATAATGGAATAGCATTCAAATCTACAGAACTTCAAACATAGACACCAAACAAGATTTCCTTTTCAGGAAAATATTTCCATAGCCCTTTTTTGATGAAAACTGATATCATTGCCCCCATCATAAACCCAAAGTACTAAAGAAAGACTCTGGAACAAAGTACTAAGAGTGGGTTTTTTTAAAGACCAAGAAATTGATTAGACATAGTCTTATTTCTGGATACCATATTGATCTTGCAATTAGCCAGCAATAAGCTCACTGCTGGTAATATACTCAGAAACTGTTCAGCAGAATTACCAATTATTACTCAACCGTTGGCCAATAATAAGCCCACCCCTTACTTTAAATGAATTGAGCCCCTTGGTTTATCACAGGATAGTCATGGTAAATTCAGCAATTTAATACCTGTACTACTTTTTTAAAGCCCATGTCTAGTAGTAAGTCTATCCATATCTATAGTACTTGGGTTTCAGAAGAAATACTAGTAAATGCTATTCATTCACCATCCTTCCCCCCCTATCCCCTACTTTGAGCCAGAGTATACACATGTAGGATGTACATGTATATCCACTGTGATGTTTTAAGATGTCTACACTGACAGGTTGATGTAAACAGAAATGAGGTGTCTTTTTCTGTCCTATTTTCACTCAAACAACACCAACAGGGAGTTGTCATACTAAAATTCCTGAGGGTGTCCTAATTAGAACAGGTGCCCTTCTATTATAAAACACAGCATGAATACTTTGTGTCTACATCATTATCTCTACAAACACATCTTTCCACGAATTCTGACCTATTTAGAGGCCAACTAGGTATGCTTTTAAAAAAATCTTGCTGCCAGGTTGGTAATTGAAAATCTGTAAACTTAGAAAGTTACAGGTATTGTATGTGTATAACTGTCACACACAAACACCGACCAATTATGATGAGTACACAGGTGGTTACTGCAGGTTGTCTAGCCAAGCACACACAAACCAGTTTGTGATCACCACTCCACAGCCAGACAGCAGAGATCTGCCTTACTGGTGTATTTTACTAGTATTTACACTCCTTATATCCCTAGGGTTCAGTCATCCAGTGGTTGGCCTTTCTCCAAACCCTTCTTTTCTGTCTCTCCTCTAACTATTTTCCCTGTAAGTCTGGCAGCTCCTATTGGATAGGTTTCAATCAATGTGTAGCACTACACAGGCATATAGAGATTCCCACTATACAGAGACATGTATGACCAGTCGTACACCACACACCAGCGCTCAAATGGTTAATACCAAACAAATCTTGTTCAATGTAAAATGCCCTAATCAATAGACTTGACATGGATACTAATTCTAACAACTGTGCTAGTGGGTGTGCAGGCCAGAAAATCTAATGTCTTGAATATTGACAGATCTCTAAATGCACATCACTGTATGAGCATACAAGTGCAAGCATTTCATCTAGACTGGATTTTCAACTAAGAATTCAATTCACACAGAAAATTCGAGGAAGACAGAAAGTGAGATCTAAGTGGAAGGAATAATACAACACCATAGACAAAATAATGAGAATTCCAATGAAATTAGTACATAATGGTATTAAGGAAGTGTAAGCACTTGTCTGTCTGGTTTTCCTTTCCTTGTGAAGTAGGAAACAGAAAGTGCTCTGAGTAACCCCGAGACCTGATATCATCTTTTTGGTGGGAGGGGCTCAGCACCAGGCAGTTCAGCTTCAAAGCACTTGGAACACCAGAAGTGGGAAGTAATATAGATAACAGTATTACAGCACAAACAACTTCAGTTCAACAGGTGATGAACACACCAACATACAAATGTGTTTATGTAAAGCAAAGTAACAAGTTATCTGTTCTAAAAACATCAACAATTTTATTTTCGTTATATTGTATGTAAACATGGGTGAAATTTGCAAATGTTAAAATCATGAAAATTAAGCTGGGGATCCAAGGGGCCGTTAGGGCCCTCCGAGGATCCAAGGCAGAGCCCTGGTGAGAATACAAGGAGGGCGGAGCCCTCCTGAAGCTCCAGAGATATAACTTATAGGGAACCATTTTAAACAAGAACAAAGTCCATCTCATTTTGGTTCAAAGGAACATCTTATCATACCAAAATATTAGCATTAAATGTTCTTCAACACACTTCACAAAAAGTGATCCCATTGATTCGTTGATCTCATTAAGCCACTGCCTTAGCCACTTATTTTTAATGTCTACCTCAAGTTATTTCCCAATTACACCCTGGGTGTAAATATTTCATTTTGTCAAAAAATAACTTTGTCACAGTAACTTTCAATGTTCAAGGGTAAAGACAGACTAATTTCTGGATGTCGTAACAGTGTCGCTCACGAAAAAATTGATGATGTTAAGTATACCAATGCTAATGACAGAACTTATAGAATGAAGCGAAATGTTCTGATTGGATGTCTAAGGGTCACCCCAGGAAGACACAGTAAATGCTATTTATAGCTACATGGGATTCTTTTTCAATCACCATGGTATCAAAGCAAACTTCCTGCAGCATGGCAACTGTAACTTTTCATGACGATGTCTGTTATCAGTGGGGGTGTGTGCAGCGTGGCACCTGAATTCTTACGACGATGCCTACTATCAATATTCTGTCTACATCCACACAATATTTTTTCAACGATTTTATGCAATTTGGAAAAATGGTCTTAGCAGCCATTGAAAATCCAGAATTACTGACTAATCTGGCAAACTTATGATTTAATTTGAATTACAAGCTATAACAATTTATTTCTGTAATTATCTGTGGTAGAAAATACAAGTAAATTATTGGTTTTAAGCTGTACCTGTGGCTACTAAGTCATGAGTTGTACTTCTAGTCATGGAAGTAATATATAACCGATATATCAGAGCAGGTAACAGTCAGCAATAGATTATAACTGAGGAACAGACATTCAGAAATAAAGCTGACAACGCACCTCTTGATAGTTACAACCATGCACTTAGGGACAGCAGGTACAATTCCTACACCCTAACTACACGACATGAAACCTATATCAAATTCAGCATCATCAGTCAACCTACATTCTGTAAAACATCTCTAGTTGTCTAGCTGTGTCAGTATAAGCCAATGAAACTACTGTAGTTGCCAAACTCATGTTAGCATAAGGCAGAGTCTCTACAGGTTCCAAGATATGGACTGCACAAGCAAAGTCACAGAAGCATGAAACCATGGTCTTATTCAGTATCCGGAAGTTGCATTCTGAAGTATCCAACTTCATGCATGATAGATAAACCAAAAAATAAGAAATACAAGACTGAGCCTTCTGCAGCAAGTTTGGTTAACATGAACAACAAAATTATTAAAAAAAAGAATAAGATTTTTGGTATGACTATTTCAAATCAGGGATGTTTTTCCTTACATTAATAATTGTGCCGAATAACTAGAGGATTAATTTTTCACAGTAGGTTGTGCCGAATATGGAAAGCAAACAAAAAATGAACTGAAAATTGGGTCCTAACGATCAGATAGGCATTTTTTCCTAATTGGATTATAGCACAAATCCAATCCATATTCCATTACTCAGGGCAATCTTTCTAGTCTTTATTTCATTTACAACAAGACAATCTGACATATAATAGTCCCCACTGATGCATCACCTTACCATGGTGAACACATACCCCAAGTATGAAGTTCCACTTACTATTAGCATACTAGTGATAACAGAAGTTGTAAATAAGACACACAAACAGAACTCTGAACAGGATAAATGGATATTCTTAAGCAAGTCCAATGCATGATATAACATGATGGATAAAAGGCAGAAAGACACATTTTTTTCATAAATAAAAAGTGACCCTGATTTTGACCCCATGACCAAAAGATTTGTGACCATAACATATAAATATATGAACTAATCTGATATATAATTCAGTCATTACACTAATGACATAAACAATTATATACATGCAGTTGTAATGCTAACCTACCGACCTTCTGTTGATCAATGAATGTAAATGAAATGTTAAGTCATGTATATCTGAAGTAAGATTCATGACGGTAACAGTGTAGAAATCACAGTGTACTTATAACCCACTACCTAATGATACCATCTGATATCCTGTATATATTCCACATGACAACTAGAAGTTCCTACATTTTCCAAGCGTAAGTTCCCTTCATTTTGTTTTTTTATCTGAGCAATTAACCAATGAAAAGAGAGCAAAGACGTTTTTGACAAAAATACCAACATTTAGCAAAGGTATCCAATTTAGGACAAATCTGGAGTGGAAACATTTCTGTGAGCTTATTCTTGCAGGAATGCTATAATTTGAACTGATCTACCAAAGGCAGAACTGGTAGCTCTAACTCAAATTTGAGATGATAAGTGTTAAGTTTTACTCTGATGATGGAGAGTTTGGTGAATATAGACTGAATTATGAAAATGTATCAGAAAATGAAAAGTCTGATGAGAATTAAAAGCACTTCAACAATATTTACTTAACACATTGATCAGAGTAGGACTTCACTTTTTCATTCGAATCAATCTCATTCTAAAGACTAATTTTTTTTTATCATATATAACTTTTACTTATAAACCAGAAAACAAAATTTTCAAAATGTTTATTCTAAGAACAAGTTGAAATTTCAAATTACTTCAGATTATTCTAAGGGTTATCCAAAGTGAAATTGTTTCTTCAATGTATGTCACCATTACAAGATTAGTTTAATGGGCGTATAATGCATGAAATTACGTCAGTTAATTGCTATAGGTCACCAACATCTATCTGACGAAAGGTAGATATTCCAGAAGTATACAACTGGACGCCATTGGAATTAAAACACATCATACTAGTTGAGCTTGAAGGACAGTAAAAAATCTACACCATCAGAATGACATAAAAATCAGTCAAATGCAATGCAAGATCATTATTACCTAGAAAGTCAGTAGTTAAAACAATCTAATGAAATGACTAATGCCCTTTTTTTCTACATAATCTCAGCTGTACCTGCCCTACCTCTGGAAAATAAGGTTCTGACCACTACTTCAATATTAATCAATAGCCACAGTGACAGGTCATGGTCAACCACTTATCTGATAGTTGAAATTCATTTGATATTGAACAAAAAAACCACTACATTCACAGTTCTTCTGACTTTTTCTTACATTTGAAAGAGACCACACCCAAATATCAAGTCCTCATTTTGACAAACTTTTCACATAATTCTGAATAATAATTCATGGTCACCTCAGAGTTTCATCAAGTCAGGTTTTCATAAAAAAAAATTATAGTATGTTTCCATGATATGTGAATCATCATAAGATAGCTACAGTAAACTTCCATTAGTTACCATAGGCTGAGGCATTTGAACACATGATTTTTTTCCCAATGCAGTTTGAATCCTTTCTATTCTTCCTTTGTTTTCAATTTCTAACATTAGAACACCTTGTGTAGGGACTTTTCTGTCTATATAAATAACCAGATATATCAGTCACATTTCCAATAAAAAATACCATTTTTTCCACAAAATTGAGACAGATTTTCCCCCTCAAATGCCAGAAGCAATTTATTTACTTAGTTTTTTCTGTTTCTATTTCATTATCACTGATCATCTATATGCTTCACTTTTATGCATAATACTGCTGTAATTCAAGCACCATTGTGAGAAACATTTAACAGGTTTTAGTTACAAATATGATTTTGTTGATAGTTTGCCTGAGTACTCAGTTGCCTTTTTTCTATGTTTTTATGAACCTAGTATAAATAAACATTACATAGATTGTGTCAGCTCAAGAAAAGAATCAAATTAATATTAAATAATTGATTTTCTCAGTTTGGTAAAAACAGCTGTAAAATATCCCCACTTTACAACCAAGTGGTGATTCCAAAAATAGTCAGAAAGCTCTGTTGCGAAATCATACTTATGCCGAACTACTCATGTGGCTGCTGTTAGAGGGTTGTAAAAGACCATCATAAGAAAATGATACAGTTGGGGTGGGGAGGTTGGGGGGGGGGGGGGGGGGGGGGGGTATAACTTTACACATTTTTCAATATTCTGCATTTGAACAAGCAATGGCTTTTATTTATAGGATAAGTACTTTCCCTTCATTCCAGCATGGTTTCAAATACTTTGTCATGATTTTGGGAGATGCTGACCCATATAATTTGAACTCACATGTTCACATGTATAATTTTGTACGTGTAAATTTTTTGACCTGTCTGTACATTTGCTGTATATAGCCAGTTTTGTAAAAATGTCTTACTGATCCTGATGGCCTATTTTGAAGAAAACAAAAACAAAAAAGAAATCTTGTGAACAAAATCTATGATCAACTATGGAGAACAAAAATGTCCTTGGCAGGGCATGTGTAATTCATTTATTTCTGAAAAACAAAAGCCAGTCCACCAACAACAGAGAACCTGATTATATGGTAAACAAGTAAACACATATTGTTGGCAATGGTAGGTTTACAATGGTAAGTACAGAGGGATTATGTAGAGGCAGCCATTACATAATGTACTGGAAAGTTAAGTTGATAAGAAAAAAAAAGGAGTGGAAATACTCACTTTACAAACTTTAATTGATTTGACACATATGCAAGTTATATGAATAGAAGAAAAAAAATTTTACTCCCATCAATGTGTAACTTATCTATTGCGCTACTGTGAATCAAACAAAATATTGCTTGAAGGCCAACCCTTAAAGGGATTGCAAAGTTCACTTCTATACACAGTAGACAGGAATTCTGACTGTTGACCACAACCATTACAAAAACAGAATCATAGAATGTCAGTCACAGAACCCTTAGGACTATCCAAATGTGTGTGTTCGTGTTCACGGTGTACAAGCATTTTATTCTTTCTTTAAGACTGAAAGAATACTCAATCAGGAATTTTGGGTTAATTCTTCAATAGCAATTGTACTAATCTCAAATGAATATTTCGTGACGTTTTACTTCAACATTTCAGTTAAAATATTGTCAATATTGTTCTTCATCAAAACTGTGTCCGTGTACTGTTGCTTCATTTCAAATGATGAAGTTGTAATGAAACAAGTAATTTATTTATTGTGTTTGCTCTCTGTTACTTACGTTGTTTCTCTACGTACACACTGAAATGTATACTATTGTTTTATTGGTAAATAACAATGAGTAAGAATATAAATAACACGAAATCCCGATAGTGTGTATTGGGTCCTTACCATATAAAGTCTGTCTTAATACATGCACATTCTCTAAAATCTTCTCACAGTGTTCCTGCGCAACACCCATAGCTTGGAGTTGAGGATGCTGTAGCTGACATACCTGCAAAATAAGACAATAAGAAGAATTACTGCGTTCTAACACGACATGTGCTTTCAAATCTTACCACAATACGCCATCTTGTTAATCTTGATAAAAGGGTCAACTTACGGACTGCAGTGTTTTAAATCCATATGCTTCAAAAGTGTCGGCATATTGTTTACACATAAAGGTCTCCAGCCATCTTTCAACAGGGCCGGGCATTTTATGATGAGAAAATATTACATGAGAGGGAGAAACCCCCCTAAATCGTGTGAGACATTTTCTAAACTTAGCATAATGGCAGTCGGTCACGTGACACCACAGTGGTTGAAAGGCCGCTTATAACAAGAAGAAGAATTCTCCCGCGGTTTTCGTGCAATTATCGTCAAACTTATCTCACGGTGTGAAAAAGGCAAACAGAGTAGGTGTAATGATGGGATTTATATATTTTTTTCTTGTTTGAAAATAAGTAAATTGAAAATCAAAGGAAGTTGATGGATACATTTTCAATTTATTCAACTTTTGACTTCATATCATTTTAAAATATTTCAAGATTAATATAAGTTGGAAAACTTGTTTCCGAATCAAATTCTAATTATATAAAATTGTTGTCTAGATGATGTCGGATATGTAAATGAATTTGGGTTGTATCGGTAAGCTATTTAACTTATACAGTAAACCTATATTTATGCTAAAAGCAATAATTATGAAAAATACAGTACAATCAAATGGGTATATTAGTGTCAATTCTTCATTGGATCACCACCAGAAAAGGTTTAACATTGTAACAAATATTTTGACAACTTTACAAAAGAGTTTATTACTCAAGAGGAATAGCTGAATTTAGAGTTCAGAGCGAGTCAAAATTAGGAGGAGTTTCCTTCTGGTTGTTATAAAGGTGCATTCACAGACGGGGCGAGAAATCTGTAGAAGTCTTAATTTAATTTCCTGGCACAGTTTCTGAGTTGGCAGGAATCAATCTTCCGTCGTCTTGCTATTTAAAAAAAATATGATTAATAAATGTTGGGATTGAGTTCAGCAGCTACATTATCTGGTTACTTTAAAAAGTACTTTTATTTCCATTTGAGATCGAGGAGAAAAACGGACAACTTGAATTATTCCATTCTAAATTTTTGAAAGAAAAAAAAATGAAAGAGAAAGCTTAAACGTGAAATCTTGGCGTTATGTCTACTTTCACTAACTGATATAAAACCAGTCGCTTTTCTAGAGCATATTACTATTTCTAGTCTTAGAACACAGTGATAATGCAAAGAGCCTGAATTTGGTTTCAATCCGACGTGTCACATGCACATATTTCTCTGGGATAAAGTTTTACTGTTTATAAAATACCAGCATACTAAAAAAATAGGTCTAATGAAAGTACATTTAGTATATATGATTGTCAATGGTGTTCTGTCAATTTTGTATTCAAACGTTCAAAAATATTTACTTTTTTATATTCCTTATATAATGGGTCAGACCAAAGAGCGCAATTGTCAAAAGTATTTTTGATAAGTTAAAAATTAGATCAGGAGACAACATTATATCTTTTAGAATCGAATTGTCTTCAGAGTTTGTTTTTTGTATTTTTTTTTTCAGCGGTTCAGCAATCTGTAATTATGGAACATTATCATTCTGTGGCAAAACTGCGAAGGCATGTCAAGTTAAACGGCAAAATAAATAAATAAAACAATAAATAAGTAAAGAAATAAAACATCGAAGACGTGGAACACGAAGCAGGGATAGCAAAGAAGGAAATCAGGTAATCTTCAAAGTTATTTAAAACAATTACAATTGTTTAAACTAAAGCTAAATTTTTAAAATGTAATTCTGAAGTCATTTTTGGTGTAACTGTAACTGATACTACACACTGTGAATATGCAAGTGCATTTAATGGTTTATCTCTTGATTTAACAGAGGCAGCTCTAAGGAAACATTAAAATAAATGAAAAACGCAGTTTTCGTAAACATTTATAGAATTTTGTTTTAAATTAAGTTCACCATGGACTTGATATGATAATTTAATAAAGAACTAATATGAAATTTTAAACAAAAAACAAGAAGTAAATTGTCACTTTTTATTATTTTTTTTTTTTGTTCAACTGAAATTAAGGTCTGTCCCTTAGACGTTTTGCTAAAACTTCTCTTTCAAAATGAATATTTTAATGTTCAACATATAAACGAATTAAAAATACTAGCTCATAAATAAGGTATCCACATATGCCATTTCATTAAACTTCTGCGAAATTCCTTTCGGGTCCAAACAGACTTGTGTGTTTGCTGGGTTTATAACCAAGTAAAATCCAATGTTATTTTGAGGCGGGGTCTCTTTGTAGTCGCGGGTGGTTACCTTAACGAAAAACATTCGGGAGTTCCGCCATATGCCAGCTAGGGCGTATGGGGGTAAAATGTCCAGCCCAAGGACACAACTTCTTAGCCTCCACACACCATCCTCCCTTGCCGATACGCACTTCTAGCGATTAGCAGTGGCCAAAAATAAATAGCTTAGTCGTTATGTGTTGTCGGTTTAGGTAGAGTTAACCAGAATATATAATGCAACCACTTCACAGTCAACCTCTGACCAACCTACAGTATTAAAAAGAAACAAGTAGCCATGAATCTGTACATATGCTTAAGTCTGTAGCATTCCTATAAACAAAGGGCTATAACTCCATGTATTTAGGAGCGACATTAAATCTACTCTGCGTCACTCAACCGTACAAGAAGAAGTGCAAATAGACATAATTTTACAGCAGTCTTGAGCGAAATAAGAGAAGTGTCGGCCAGATAAAAGCTGATGGACGTATACTTTTGACGGTTCATTTTCACCACATGATTTTCCTATCCATTTCTAGACATGTTCTTAGAATTCTGGGAATTTATACACAGTTTGTTGAGTTTTGGGCCTATGTGCCTAAGCTTATGAAATCCTTTTTTTTTATTATTGTTTTACCGCTAATAAATGGATCGTTCGGCAATCTCGAGTGTGGAGGATATTTGTTCAGTAGTTGATGAGCTATTTCCAGTTAACAAAGAGTACAGAATATGAATTATCAATTCATTTTGGAAATTTGGAAAGTCAAATGGCCTGTGGCATTAGCTTATTTATAGAGATGTTTTTAATAAATCTGTATACCTAAGGCTGGTTTTCACCTCTTGCTTATCCTACCCATTTCTAAACACTTGACGATAATTCTGGGAATTGATACATAATTTAGGGGTGTCAGGGTCTATGAAACCCTTTTATTGTTTTAATAAGTCTGAATTTTTCTCTGTCTCTTACATCAGACATTAGTCGAACAGCTTTGCACACAAAATATCCAACGTCTAGTGTTATAATCAGAGAAAAGCATGGCAAATATTTTCAATAGTGAAATGAAATGGAAATAACCACTCTATCTTTTTTCATGTGGCCAGGCAATGGAAAGGTAAGCATTTCCCTTTGGAAGTTGTGCCTTATATTATCTAAAATTTTGATGAGTTTAGCGACGTCGAGTAATGTTTCTGTATTCGGTCTTTGTTTTACTACATAACTGTTTGTTTTAAGAGGAAGTCGAGTAATGTTTCTGTATTCGGTCCTTGTATTAAGATATTACTGTTTGTTTCAAGAGGAGACTTCTATTATAAACGCTCTATGTTTCGTGTCAACCGCAAATTATATGTTCTAACGTTTCTAAATTAACTGTTATTATTAGGTTTAAGCCATAACTTCCTTGTATTCTGAAAAAAAGTAGTTACAATATAGGCCGTTTCTTTACTCAACCACCTTAACCTTAAGGTTCGTTATCACAAAAGGAAGTAATTTTGGTAGATATGAGTGTTCTCTTTATCGACAATCCATTCCAATATATTTCACATTAACATGCAGCTTATTTGTTGTTCCTTGTAGAATTCTATGCCAAGGCGTGATCCATCCACTGGCGTGTGTAGGTCAGGGTCATGATATTTGACTGATAATTTCTTGAGATAAGATTTAACAAAGCTTAGGAAAGAAATAATTTACCAAACGGTATAGTTTCAATACGAAAACGAGTTAATTATTACCCTTAAAGCAATTGGGTATAGATGAATAATTCAATTAAGTAAAATATTGGGTTGAAAGTTTGAAAGCTTTATCATTGTTCTAATTAAAGTCTTCCAAAATCGTATTCATCAGTTATAGACGACTGATGTTTAACCTGAAGTGCATAATTGCAGGTTTTTGACAATTATTTGAATTTACACCCGCTTTGACGAGTAATTATCATATTAGTAAACTATGCGGGCCTATCAGACCTCTTGTTAGAGTTATTTCCCTTATATTGGAAAACAAAAATGGCGCCGTCTTTAAGAAGCCGGGATGTCTAGTCTCAATTTGTGTTACGATTTTGAAATCATGTACTGACGTACCGTTTTTAGTTGATGCACGACTTGTTGAGTGACATAAAACTATCAGTTAGTATAACAAGTTCACATCCTTCAAATTATTAACACCTTCTTTATTACGATCAAACTCAAGGTTCTTAGCAACATGTGAAAATAGGAATATGAATTCTTATCTACGCATGTATTGTAATATATCGGTATTGTCATTATTTAATAATTGACCAGCTTTAAATGGATATTTCCCATTAACTTTGCCTTTTTACCTTTGGGAAAGCAAGTGTCCTTGTGCCCTGCCTTTAGTGGCCTGATCCCAGTAAGATGTAGGAAAGAAAAATCTCCAGTTAAATGCATGATCCAAGTTAATTTGGATTGTTGCTATTGGGGCATAAAATTATATAATGTACAGGTGATCAATATAAAAGAAAAATCAATTTATGTATAGTATTATTTAGCTCTCTTCGTTATTTCAGTATACAAAATGGACACACCAGAAGATAACACAGCTGTCATCCGTATGAAAAGGGACTTTGACAGCTTTCTGTCCAACACAAGTCGACAAGGACTTCCGCGGTTTGATCTGGACCGGACCATAGATATATCCCCAAATCATTCTTCACAGTCAGCGGTTTCCATTAAACTCCTGCTAGGTGTGTGGTTTAACTATTTTTGATGAGACGCATATGGCTGGTTCTCCGAGTAACTCTCTTACCTGCTTCGGCTTTCATAATTATTCAGCTCCGTTATGATGTATATCTGATGATTTTTACCATTTCTAATTTTGTCCATACTTTGCAATTGTATAGTATGAAGCTGTCAATATCCATTCAATTGAATTTTTGTCATGTATGATAATTTCATTTAAACCAATTAGAATTATAGAAAATTTGAAGTAGTATAGACATTAAGCACCTTGAAGTTAAGTTTTTATATTGCATCTTTTTTTTTACAGACAGGGAAAAAGAAGGAAGATTGAAAGATGCTGAAATGGCTGCAGCTAAGAGCAAAATTTTACAACTGCAATCAGAGGTTGATGATATAAGAACATGTAGTAAAAGGGCAAAAATCGAAATGGATTTGAACATTGGTAACATGAAAGGAGAAAGGGAGGTAAGCCATGGTTGAAGTCTGTGAAAATTGGCAGAGTGGAATTATTCCATCTGCATGTAGACTTGATTTTGGCAAAATTCTATGGTTGGTAAGTAATTTTTTTGACAATTTCACTAATCATGTCATAGAAAAATACAATTTGTACTAGCAAAGCTTCCAGATATTATTTGGAAATGAAAACATTCAAAGTTATTAAACTATGCATATGACATAAACAAAGAAAAGATACGACAACTTAAACCTCTTTTGGCAATCATCTGTGTAGTGGTCACTTTGGAGTTTGTTTTCCAGATTTTTCAACTATCCAATTGTTACATTTGTTAATTTTATGTTTGCAGCGAGAAGAAGAAATGTTGAAAGAATTGAGAGCCAAGTTGAAGTACATGTCTGACAAAGAGAAAAATCTAAAGGAGGATCTTGAAGCCTGTCGGGAGGAGTTGAAACAGAAGAAGGCAGAGTTTGATACTCAGACATTGGCCCAGCAGAAAGAGAAAGTGCAGATGCAGCAGATATTGCAGCAGGTAAAGACATTCGTTATTATCTCATGCCAATGTCTTCCAAGGGCTGATACACTTTGCAACTGTAAAAGCCTTGAAGCATAATGACAGGTCCTGTATGATTGTGATGTCCTCTCTGGATTGTACTTTCCTCTGAAACTTTCTTCACTGTTTCGGTAAAAAGTGTAAGTTGAATATGCCTCTATTGATGTTAACAGCAATTTTTACAACATTGAATATAGATATATTGAAGAGCCATTATATTAGCTACAAGGATACCCAACTTATATAATTCATTATGTGGCTGTCCTTATCACCTTGTTTTGTATTCAGTGTTCGTGTAATTCTTTTCAGTTACGAGATTCATCAAAAACTAAAATCTTTGAATTGCAAAATGACTTGATGAAGTGCCAGACAGAATTGAAGCAAGCCAAGATGGAAGTAGAGGAAACAAATGAACAGTTAAAATTACAGTTGAGGTATGGTTATAATAGTGCACTACCAGCTTTACTCTAGTAACTTGGGAAAAGTTTGCAAGATTCTTTGAAAAACATGTAGCAGAAAACTTCAGAAACTGCACATCTTCATTGATATGATAGTCCAGACTGACCTTTTCACAGTGGATTTTACTTGGAATTTTAGTGTTTGGTTATGACATTCATTCTTATGTATCCCCACCTATTGTTTGATTTACTTGGGATAGCTTGGTATCAACTCCAATAGAGGTAGTGATTTACCTTATCTCCCTATATAAAAACTAACTTGCCCATAGTCAATATGATGTTGAATGGTGAACATGACAGATCTGACTATATAACTGTTCTTGAAATAAAGAAAAATACATTAGCATGTTGGTGGTGGTATTTCCATTTCTAACTTCAAGTAAAAGAAAAAAAATGTGTGTAGAAACATAGATTATGATGAAAAAATGTTGTAATTTTAAAAATCACAAATATTGATGTCAGATGAAGCAAAACGTAATGTTATTGAATTCTTACTTGTACAACACACACGTTCTTTTACCAAACTTATAGTATGAAAACATTTAATGTTTTTGAAAATCCAAAATCATCTTCATCAAAAACTTGTTTATCGTTAGGATATTTGTGATTTCATCAAGATGAAAATCATATCCTTTAGATATTACAAGAACAGTGATGTGTAATTATTTGATCTCACAATACATGTATATACTCAATCCCTTTCTCAATATCAATGATATACATATGGATCTGTTGCCAGCAAAACCAATAAACTTAGAAGGTTTTAATGCCACATTGTGAAATTTAAAGCTCAGATTCCTCAATCATTTGCAAAAGAAGAATAAAATTTATATAAATTATTCAGTTAAAAGTTTTAGCTGACTTAACTTACACATGTAGCTACATTATCGCTTATAAATGTATGGCACGGCCTTTGTGAATTGAAAACGAAAAAGAAAACAAACTGATGTATGACAGTCAATATGATGGATATATCATTATGTATTGCTTTGAAATGTTTTAGGAGAGCAGCTGAATTATCTATAGATTTGAATGAGCTACAAGAATACAAACATACTGCTCAGCAGGCTGAACACAAGATGAAGGTAAGCATGCTTCATATCAATTATTGATTTCAAAACGTATAAAGCCTAGTTGGCCCCCATTTTAATTTGATAAAAGTAACATCATCCCACAATGTTTTCTAATAAACCATACAGTTTAGAGTACTTGTTATGATATTTTGTTTGAATATTTGATAGGTGATGTGTAAAAATAATTGTTTCTTTAGATATGTTGCTTATTCACATGTGTTGTCTTGACTTGTGGAAAGATTTTATAAAACATGTTTAGGTCACAAGGTATATGTTTAGAAAAAAACTTAATTAGCATAAGCTTGTTTGAATTTTGTCAGATGAAGACAGCAGAGCAATCACCAAAATATATATTCCTTATTGCTTATGTTATTTGGAACTCATCTACTTGTAGAGTCAGACTTCTCTGGTATATGTATTCTTGTGCAATGTCTCTGGGTAGGAATTTTTTCTAGGGCGGTGGATGCCTTTAACATCATTTACATTTTCCACATGTGCTTGTCTGAATATCAAACATTGAGAGCTTGGTTTACAGTTGGTTTCATTCATTGCTTTCATACTGAAAGTATTTGCAGTCTGCCTGACAATGACTTTATTAATGGCATGAATATTGAAGAAAATTTGTAGTCTGTCTGATATTGATAAAAGGGAAAATCATCGATGGTTTTGACTAAAATATTGGAGTTCTCGACTGCCGATTATTTGTAGGACTTATTGAAATTTTTAAAATCTGTTCAATATCTCAGCAAAATTGTCTTAATTTGTGGATGTGATGTTTCTCTAAATTTTACAATATACTTTGTATGAAGTAGTTATCAATATGTACCAAAATCTCTTAGTAAATAACAAAACGAAAAAAAATATTTGCTATTTTTTTTTGTAATTGTGAACAACATGTGAAGAGTACTGGTATAGGTGTTTATGAGTATTTGAATTATCCCATTTAATTCAGTTTAATAATGATATATATTATTGGATTCAATATTAATGCAGATGCTAGAACAGCAGGTGAATCGGATGTCAGAAGATGCTAATATGACACAGGCTATGAAGAGTCAGATCACCTCACTGCCTGCACTAGAGAAGGAAGTCAGGAAACTTCGTGAGGAAAATGAGTACCTCAGGTCAGTGCTAATACAAACAAGTCATCATTTTCAAAAGGAAAATTCATGTTTTTGATTTGTCAACTATTAAAAAAAAAAGTTGTTTGAATTCCAAAAAGTTGAAGTTTTACATGTCTTAATACAAGATGATGAAATAGAATTGTTGAATACAAATCATGGACCTTTGGTTGGTTTAACACTATGATGCACAAGATATGGGCTGTTTTTGTTCATCAGTTTGACCAGTTGGACTAGGCAGGGTTTTCCATAAGAGCCGGTCGCTGGCCAATCTGTCCGGCTACTTTGATCATTTGGCCGCCTACACCAATCCAGTTCCATAATAATGTTCTGTACATGACTACACATACACCGCAGGCCACCCCCACCTCGCCGCATTTTGGCTTGGGTCGGCTGGCTTTGCCAGCCTCCTACTTTCACTACACAGCCTACTACTAACAAAATTATGGAAAACCCTGACTAGGGTTGTTTGTTTATGAACTGATCGTATTTTGTTTTCAGACAAATTTTTGAACAAGTGGTTCGAGACCTGTATTGATATTTGCAGGTCTCTTCTAAGTGTTGACCGACTAGTTTTTCCACATCAGTGAACAGATCCCTGTGTATGATTTGTTTTATAGTTTCACTGCATTTTGTCTGAGATAATTTAGTTAACTCTCATGATACTTTTGTCTGTCAGGGGTACAAATGAAAACAACCTCTTACTGAAAGAACAAGCAGAAAGTATGAAAAAAAAGTTGGAGAGGTTAGAAAAGAGATCGGAAGAGTTTGCAAAAATGGAAGTTGAAAATACGGTAGGTGTATCCCTCATCACAATGCCTAAATATTGTAAAAATTTCAATTTACTTTTAACATACAAAAATATATTTTTCTAAAAGTCGTTTTTAATATGTATAACTTTTCAAAGGAAATGTTTCTGATCGCTAACTTGATTTAGTTTATTCCATTTTCATCAATACAGACTAGATATCATGGTAAAGCATTAATGAAAGTATACTAGAATGTTAGGTGTGACAAAATGAAAGGTAAGCTGTATAAAAGCTTTAGAAGTGGATGTAAAACCAGTAGAATAAATGAATGAAAAACTTAAATGTTTCAGGAAATGAAATACCGCCTTGAGAAGTGGGAGTCTGTGGATAGTGATGGAGTAAGAATACAGTAAGTCATGTATTGCAATGTCTTTTTTAAGTATGATGTAACCCTTCAAACACAAAACAATTCTGTGAATTACAGTTCCCCACCAACACACTGCCTTACCATGGTGAAGCTATATCACAAGTATAAAGTTCCTGTGATTAGTAGTGAGAAATATAGGGCCCAGACTATTTCTTTGATTTAGGTCAAAGTTCAAAATGTAGGTCACACTGACCTACTTTTGATTCACAACACGCAATGACACCACAGTGAACCCATATACCATGTTTAGAAATCCTGTGGTCATTAGTGTAGGAGCGATCTACATTTGATATGTGACCCACCATCTTACCAAGGTGAACAAATTTCTCAAAAATCAAGCTCTAAAGATCTGTAGTGTAGAAGATAGGGCCTGGACAAAATAGCGAAAGGATAGAATGATGAATGGACACAAAACAGAATTGATATGTATGCTGGCCATTGATAATGCTCTATGCTAAAGTTTGTATTGCAATAAGAAGTATCGTAGTAATAAAATTCTCTAACAATAATATGTAAGTAAATGAAAAAGTGATTTGAAGGTACGAAACATCAATGATAATCTATAGCCATTGTTTCCTTGACAGAAACCCAGCCCAAATGAGCCAAAGGATAGCACATTTACAAGAGATGAATGCTGTGCTACTGGAGAAACAGGGTGAACTGAAAAGCAGGTAAAGCTACAATGTTTGTGATACAGATATTGGGTCCTTTACTCTTGATTTTACTGTTGGAATCTCATGTATGAAAAAAACACTTTGTATAGTAGTTAATGGGACCTATGAAAATTTCTAAGAGAATATTCATAACTTGCTTAGAATCTCATACAAAAGTCACTGAAATACACATGATATGGGACATTGTCACATAAATTTACAGAAGTACTCAAACGTTAATTCATTATCTTTGTTAAATGTAAGCAAGTTTCAATACAGAAATAGTCATTTATGAGTTCTTGAGTCTCTTGAATATGAATTCAAATAAACTGAACAAGATTGTGAATGAAAAATAAAGTATGATGAAAAAAGTTTGAAAATGTTATCACAGACTGGTGCAAAGTTTATATTTATTTTGAAAAATCTATTAGCATAATATAAAATAAAATATGTTGTTGTAGCTGCCACCTGGAGGAGGAAAACAGTCGATGTATTCAATACAAGTACGAGATGTTACAGAAACAACATGATCAGGACAAAATTAAATCTCAACACCTGATGGAACAACTTAAACGCTTCCAACGAAAACTGCTCCTTTTCTCCAAGGTACATTCTTGTTTACTATTGTTGCTTTACATCAACAGCTAGGGTAATTTTAAGACATTTCAGGAGGAAAGCTGGAGTTCCAGAGAAAAACCACCATGAACATTCTGTAAAAAAAACTTGCTAAGTATAAATATACATTTTTTGTTGTGATTGAATTTAAGTGTATTATTTCTTGTTTGGGGTATAGATAGGAAAATTTTACCTATAGGGTTAAATGGTACATTTATACTGTGGAAACTGCTTAACTTCATGTTCCATTTGACAGAAGAAAATGTGATACTTGTAATAAGGGAAATGTGTCATTAATAGTTGGCACATTTTTTCGGATGACTAAAACTTTCTGATGCACCAAAGTGACATCTTTCTAACAGAAATTGTTTGAGGACAGGAAATAGCATTTTGATTTGGTTTTTCTCATAAGCACTGTGATTTTCCCAAACTTTTTTTTTTTATTATTTGAAATATCTATCGCATATTATCTTGAACAGTCATGTCATATTCTGTTTATATGTGGTCAAACTTTTATGTGACACTACAGTGTCATCAGCTGATTTTCTGCCTCAAAATTCATTCATCCATTGCTGTGACGGCTTCATAATAGGGCATCATTGCAAAGTCCATATATATCACTGTGTATCTCTGCAACTTAGCCAAAATGTGTTTTGAACATCACTCTCATCGAGTACTGTTGAAAAAAATAGCTGAATGAGTGTGAACTGTTCACCTTTGCAATGCCACGTTTCATTTGCTGTTATATTAGTGATTATTTTCAATGACATAGGGAAAACCAGATTTGAGAACATTTTACTGTTGCCTTACCAGCACTCGAGATAAATGAGTTCTGATATGACCAACTGGATTTTAAATCAGCATCTCATATATACATGATATCCTGAACAAGTCGTTTGGAAAAAATATCATTATCAAAATTATTTAAGCATCTTAAGCTTTACATATTGGAAATGTGAAGTTGTAAAGTTAAATATGGCAACATTCATAATGATGACATTGACATGCCACAGTTTGTGTCCCATCAGTCACAATAAACGAAACAAAACAAGAACATTTTTTTAGTAAATTAGGGTTCATGTTTATTTGTGTTAAGGGAGTAAATACTATTATGAAGTTTTTTCACTTCTTATAATTAATTAATTTTAATGCTGTTTCATACAGGAAAGAGATGGGTACAAACAGATAATAGATTCCTATGAGAGTGAATTGACCAGTAATGTTGGGTCACTGACCACGAGTCGTATTCAGCACCAGGAGGGAGTCATTGATGGTTACAGGAAACAGTTGGAAGTCCTAGAGGCTAACATCAACAAGCTGACACAGGAGCTCACTGACTACAAAATACAGGGCTGTCATAAGGTATGGACAACTAAGTTTGGTGGGGACTGAATTTAATATCAAACATCACAATTAATGTTAACAAAAATTGATCTCCCAGCCATAAGATTGCTGCATTGACATGTCTGTATTAATGGCAAACACTACATAACCACTGAAATCCAGCTGTACTAATGAGGCTGAAGTGGATTGTACTGTATCGTTCCAAGTCTACACATGCTTTCCTGATTTTAATGTGAAGGAAAAATTTGATATTGTGTTTACCTGACAGGAAGCTCTGTGTGGTACTATATCTAATGATGTTTATTCCAGTACAATAGATGTTATCTGATTATTTCAGACCTTAGAGTCTTAAGGTCCCCTACCCGAGAATCTGAAGTTGTATGTTTTTTAATAATCCTGTCCCATATACCCTAGAGTCTAAGGTCGTGTAATAACTGTGTTCCCTACTCTAAAGTCTGAAGTTGTATGTTCTGTAATAATCCTTTCCCTTATACCCTAGAGTCTGAGGTCCTGTAATAAGCCTGTCCCTAACCCTAGAGTCTGAGGTATATATTCTGTAAGAACCCTGTCCCTTATACTCTAGAGTCTGAGGTACCAGGATTTTCCATAATTTTGTTAGTAGTAGGCTGTGTAGTGAAAGTAGGAGGCTGGTGAAGCAAGCCGACCCGAGCCGCAACGCGGCGAGGTGGGGGTGGCCTGCCGTGTACGTGTAGTCGTGTATGGAACTGAATTGGTGTAGACGGCCAAATGATCAAAGAAGCCGGTCAAATTGGCCGGCAACCAGCTCTTATGGAAAACCCTGGAGGTACTGTACTAAGTCTGTCCCCTACCCTACAATATGAGGTTACATGCTTAGTAATAACCTTGTTCCTTACCCTAGAGTCTAAGTTATATGTTCTGTAATAACCCTGTCCCTTATACCTGAAAGTGTGAGGTTCTGTAATAACCCTGTCCACTACCCTAGAGTTCGAGGCTATTTGTTCTGAAATAACCATGTCCTTTTTACACCAGAGTCTGAGGTTCTATAGTAATCTTTTCATCTGCCATAGTATATCAGGTTATATATTATGTTTAACTCTGTCCTCTACACTACAATCTGATGTTATACTTTTTGTAATAACCCTATCCTTTATACCTTAGAGTATATGGTAATGTTTTCTGTAATAACCCTGTCCTCCTACCCTAGAGTGTGTGGTAATGTTTTCTGTAATAACCCTGTCCCCCCTACCCTAGGATCTGGAGTAATGTTTTCTGTAATAACCCTGTCCTCCTACCCTAGAGTGTGTGGTAATGTTTTCTGTAATAACCCTGTCCTCCTACCCTAGAGTGTGTGGTAATGTTTTCTGTAATAACCCTGTCCCCCCTACTCTAGGATCTGGAGTAATGTTTTCTGTAATAACCCTGTCCTCCTACCCTAGAGTGTGTGGTAATGTTTTCTGTAATAACCCTGTCCTCCTACCCTAGAGTGTGTGGTAATGTTTTCTGTAATAACCCTGTCCCCCCTACTCTAGGATCTGGAGTAATGTTTTCTGTAATAACCCTGTCCTCCTACCCTAGAGTGTGTGGTAATGTTTTCTGTAATAACCCTGTCCTCCTACCCTAGAGTCTGGGGTAATGTTTTCTGTAATAACCCTGTCCCTCTACCCTTGAGTGTGAGCTTATATGATACATGGATATCTTACATATTCTTGCATTCAAATCATCGTTTTCCTCTTCAGACTACATCATCAACAACTGATGGCAATGGAGTGGTTCCCAAGTCTCATGTAGACAATACTGACCAGAAGATTATATTACAGCTTAGGTAGATTTTTATTGGTCTTAATCAGTGGTAGAGATATTTTAAACAAGGAAATATTGTAGGTATTATTGTGACCTTATCAGGTAGAAATATTTTACACAAGGGAATACTGTAGGTTTTAATGAGACTTTATCAGTGGTAGATATTTTACACAAGGGAATATTATAGGTGTTATTGAGACTTTATCAGTGGTAGATATTTTACACAAGGGAATATTATAGATGTTAATGAGACTTTATTAGTGGTAGATATTTTACACAAGGGAATATTATAGGTGTTATTGAGACTTTATCAGTGGTAGATATTTTACACAAGGGAATATTATAGGTGTTATTGAGACTTTATCAGTGGTAGATATTTTACACAAGGGAATATTATAGGTGTTATTGAGACTTTATCAGTGGTAGATATTTTACACAAGGGAATATTATAGGTTTTAATGAGACTTTATTAGTGGTAGATATTTTACACAAGGGAATATTATAGGTGTTATTGAGACTTTATTAGTGGCAGAAATATTGAAAACGGGGGAATATTGTATAACAGTTTTTTGTTTCCTTATTGTCAAAATTTTCACCATTTTCACCATTTTCACCATAAGATTGCATGTCAATATTTAAATGGCAAACATCAATTAAGAACGGTTATATAATTTTAGTTTCTATTCCACACAGTAAATATGACACCAAATGGAGAAAAATTTGTATGGTGAACTGAACATTTTATACTGTGTCCATCAACTATGATGGTGTTGCAAATCATGCTGATATGTAGTGCTTCTTGAAATGTTTCACAGAGAGAGAGTAGAAAAATTAGAAAAGCAGCTGGAGAAGACAGAAGAGGAAAAATTCATTCTTGAATCTAGAATAGAACAGAGACACCTTCAGGTAAATAGATGTTTTGTAACTCAATGTGATGGGTCAACTAGTATAAAATTTATATATTACAAAATTACAATTATATAATATCTCTTTCCCACAATTATATAAATATCTGTCCCACAATTGTATAATATCTCTGTCCCACAATTGTATAATATCTATGTTCCACCATTGTATGATATCTATGTCCCACCATTGTATAAATATCTGTCACACAATTGTATAATATCTCTGTCCCACAATTGTATAATATCTCTTTCCCACAATTGTATAAATCTGTCCCACAATTGTATATCTAAGTCACACAATTGTATAAATCTCTGTCCCACAATTGTATAATATCTCTGTCCCACAATTGTATAAATATCTGTCCCACAATTGTATAAATATCTGTCCCACAATTGTATAATATCTCTGTCCCACAATTGTATAATATCTATGTCCCACAATTGTATAATATCTATGTCTCACCATTGTATAAATATCTGTCACAGTATAATATCTCTGTCCCACAATTGTATAATATCTCTTTCCCACAATTGTATAAATCTGTCCCACAATTGTGTATCTAAGTCACACAATTGTATAAATCTCTGTCCCACAATTGTATAATATCTCTGAACCACTATTGTATGATAACTCTTTCCCACCATTTCTTATCTATATGATAGGATAAATTATTGTGACACTTTACAGTACACTGGACAAATTACAAAATACTTATAAAAATAGTAAGTTACAATTTGATGATTTTTCTTTGTTGACAGGGTGATTATGATCCCTCTAAGACAAAGGTGCTACACTTCAGTATGAATCCAGTGGCAATGGCGCAGGCAAAGAAGAAGGAAATCATTGCAGAATTGACCGAAGAAAATGAGAAATTAAAACATCGTCTGAAATTGTTAGAAGAATCTGAAGGCAAAGTGGATGACCTGACCTTACAAGTACAACATAAGATGGAAGAACCTTGTTCTAGTAAAGAGCTGGATGGTTAGTTTGTATAAATGGCATCCAAGTCTGATCTGATATCAAAATACCAGCCTACATTTTACAATGAAGTAAGGTCTTTTCATTATTTTGACAAGTAGACCGTCAATGGAGATTTTAATTGCCTTCAGTCTTTGTAAGTGACTGAAAACAGGTAACTCTTATCAACGTTTCTTGGGTAGCCCACCATATGTTTAATTCCCAGAATCCTGTTGCCATATTAACAGTTATGTAAACAAGGATATTTTATGCTATAATTTATTCAAGATCATAGTTGTACAGGATGGATTTTCATTCATCATTGATTCAGTGTCTGTTAATGCTGAATATCGACATTTTGAACAATGGAGTCAGTAGTAGCATTTTCCTTAGCATGAAAGCTCCAGATTTGATATCATGTAGTAAGAATAAGGCCACAGATTGTTGTAAGACAAAAAAAATCAAATTTTCAGAACACTTCTGTAGAATATATTTATTTTTTGGGTTTATTGCCTCATAAACAGCCAGGGTAATTTTGAGGTGGAGTCTCCATGTAGGAGAAGGTGGCTGTCTCACAGAACAACATACAACAGACTCATTGTATGCCATCCAGAGCATTTGGGGTAAAGTGTCTTACCCAAGAATACAACCAAGGCAGCATAAATGACTCTGTTACTCCATTTCCAGATGTTAACTTGAGTAAGGGATGACCATTTAGGTTGAAACTTAATACAATGTCAGTTTAGTAGAAAATCTAGGATGGAATTGTATTTTTGATCAAATGGTTGACCACAAAGGTCACTATTGCTAAAAATAGATTTTTGGTGTCCAGATGATAACTTGAGTGAGAGATGGTTGAATAGGTTGGATTTTGATACAATGTTAGGTTAGCAGGAGACCTAGTGTGGGAGTGTGTTTCAGGTTAAAAGGTCAACTACAAAGGTTACTGTTGCTGAAAAATAGGTGTTTGGTTTCCAGATGATAACTTGCTGTGAAAATGCTGATTATGGCACAACAGGGGACATTTGTTGCTTGCAACACTAACTGTATGCTTGTCTGTTTTGTGAATATATGAGATAGATAATCAAACATGGCACAGGGATACCTCAGCTGAAATGTAAGCATTTGGCTGTTCAGCGTTAGTCTTTGTGACCCATGTGAGATTCTGTTAGTTCCAACGCTCTACTAACTGAGGTATCAAAACTGCCTTAGAATATATTCTCTTAAAAGAGCGGTCGTTGAAACTGTTTTGTGTGACCTTTGGCAGGTTTAAAAGAACAGTTGTCCAGAGAAGAGACAAAGAATAAGAGACTGATGGAAGTATTTAAAAAGACAAGTCAGGAATTTCGGGAGGTTTGTTATCAGCTGACTGGCTACAAGATTGACATTTTATCCTCCAATCAGTACAAACTGACAAGTATGTATGCTGAATCACCAGAGGATTTCTTCCTCTTCCAGGTAAATATAGAGTCAATCTTCCTGTAGTTAGCTTGTGTGTTTGTTTTACCTTGTTGTTTGTGTGGATGTAGTTTCAGATGTTTTCATCATTTCTATTTTTAGTTCTAGGAAAACTCTTAATATGGATTAAACTGATGAAAATAAATGTATTATTCACAATCTTGAAAATTGACAAGCCATTGTACTGTTTGCAAACTATTAGTTTATGAAATATTGAAATATGTCAAGAGTTTATTGAATTTGTCAATGTGACTATTTCAGCAAAGTTCCAGTGGTGAAGTACAGATGTTGGGAACTGACTTCTCAAACACACAGGAGGAAGCCATAGAACTTTACCTAGCTAAACAGGACAGTATTCCTGCCTTCCTCAGCAGTATTACACTCAATCTTTTCAGCAGGCAGACAATGATGGTAGGCTGACCTTCACCTGGTGACCTTGATAGCCTTCCAACATGTGCCAGCAGGCACTAGTGGTCAATCAACACCAGAGGACTGAATGACCTTCTCAAACATTGGGCCTTTAATTTCTCAAATGTTACATGGGTTTTACAGTACTCTTTTGATGTTCACACATTAGTATACAGCTAATGATGATTGGTTGACACAAAAGGAACAATGTCACAATGAGGCTGTCTTTCGCGGGCAGTCAACAGGCGTGGTCACAAAGGTGAAAGGACCTTCAAAGCTTCATTGACTTCAATCTGTGTGTGCCTTGTTAAAGCTGTTACTACTTAGTTAACAGGATGTATATTTACTGCTGTAATTTTGCAAATTTCAATCAAACATCAATAAAAACACAAAATATTTGTTTATAGTACATTGTTTCTGTGTGGAGTTCCCATAACTGACAATGTTGAGAAAATTCAAAATACATCTGTGCTATATTTTGAAATGGAAAATGTTGATCATGTAACTTAAAAAGAAAAAAATTGTTCAACTTGAAGCCTTCTAGATAAGCCCAGTTCTTCAACTCACTGATAATAAAGGTCACAATTTATACAGATCAACACATTTGATACTGATGCATGATTGATGGAAAAATGGAAAAAACATTAGTTTTCATCTTGTCCTGTAGAAAATTCATTAATATGTGCATAAAGTGTCCCATGTGTTTCATTTATGAAATTCTGATGATTGAAAATGAGATAATGCAACACACCATTTTACTCTTCATTCAAACATGATGGTAGACATTATCTTCAAGTGATGACTGGTGAGGATTGGATTCTGTGTACTATCCTACCTCACATCCTGTACATAATCCGTCATCAACGACACATCTCTGTGCTACTTTACATAAACATTCTAGCATTCAATATTTCTCAAGCATCAATGTGCTGATGAGCTTATAACTGATAATCGTTGTTCATTGATATGGCCATTTGAATACAGACATATTTTTATAGAAATAACTGCTTGTTAAATATCGTTATTGATAAATCATTTAAGAGTTTCATCACTTTGTTCAATAAATTTAATTTGATTGTAATGAGACAATGTGGTTAAAAATTGTTATAAATCATTTTTACATGTATTCAAGTATGGAGTTGTATGGCTGTACATTTTGAATAACAACTAGTACTAGTCCTTGCCGCGTTTCCTTGGAGTGTGCTAGGGTTTTCCACCATTACCTAAGTGTATACATACTTATGCTCAGCACATTTCCTTAAGACATATAGTCTTTCTGTTATCTTTGGTAAGGTTTATTGCAATAGAACCTAATAAAGTTTGTGAGAGGAAAGAAGTTGTCTTTCATGTACTTTGGCTGTAATGTCACGGATCACACTGATCTTTAACTTGTTCTTGACCTTTAACATTGTGCTCTTCTGTAAAAGTTGCTCTTTTCAATAGTTTTACAGAAGCCATGAAATCAAAAATTTTGTTAAATAATTTCCAAAACTAGAATCTTTAAGGTGTCCTTTAACCTCTTAACAACATTGTTGACAGAGACCAATAACAATGTTGAAAAACCAACTAGACTGTGTTGACGTCAGATTCTGTGTTAAAGATTTTATTGAGATAGAGGCTCCTTCATGAATAAAACTGATACCAGTCTAAATCTCAATGCTCTTAGATGATGGGATGTTCAATATGTTCATATCACATCAAGCAAATCTTGTTCCCTAGGTTAGGTAAACAAATCAAAGACTTCATTTATGAAGATATTACAATAAAAACCAACACCGTTTTTTGCACTTGGGAGATTTTATTAGATTGTAACAGACAACAACACAACTACTTCAACAAAATAAATAAAAATTTTGAAAATTTAGATTTTTTTCTTCCGATGTAGTTCTGAAAGTATAGAAATGATGTAAAAACACTTAATTGGATGTTAATTAGTCAAAACAGCACTACGTTTATCACAAAAGTGATAATTTAATCTTTGGTAATACTAGCAGAGATACTTTAATACCTTGTCAGTGGTGATACATCATTTCTATTAAGGTGGGTAAAAAGAACAGATGACATTAACTGTGAGGAAATGTTTGATTTTGGGAAACTTGTTGACAGATGTTGGATAAGCACTCAAAAGAAATATACCAACAGGATAAAATACATACCAAAAAATAATTAAGATATTTATATTAAGACATAACTTGTGCTGATCTCATCAGGTCTCATCTGTATTTGTTCCTATTTGATACCAATTTGATGCATTTGTTCAAAGCAAGTTGTATGTAAATGTAAATTTGGTACTTACAGAATACATCAATGTAATCGTAAATGTACAAAATTGTATAAAACACGACTGTTGTACACCTGATATTTCTTTTGCACTTAAAATAGCAGATAAAATGATACAACGCATGATGCGGAACAAAACGGGATTGCACTAGGTCACACGGAGACAATGTCTCAGGTGATCTAAAAATTGTGACAAAAACCTTTAGTTAGATCTAAATAATTATAAAAGTAAATCCTAAAAAAACGTAGCATTCTTTACTGAAATCTGGTAAAATGGCACTATTGATTTGGGGGTTCAATGTGGTCCCTTTCATCAGAGTAATATCTTAATATGAAGAGGAAAACATTTTTGCTTCGCAGAATACATCTATGGTTCTTCCTACTTTACATTTGAAAAACAAAAAATTATATTTTTTTCCTCTCTAGTTAGCCCCACAATGATTTGCAAAGGAAGAAAAGGTGCACAGAAGAAGGTGGAATAGTAAATTGCACAAAATTGTGCAAGTGAATTTTGCAATGGTTAGATGCTCAGGATTTCTTAAAAAAATTCTCTGCCATACCAGTCTGGTTAGGCAAAATTACATTAATGATTTTTCTTTAGTCAATGTGTAGATTTTCATACAGAAATTACCATCTATCAGATATATGGGACCTTTTCCTTCTCATGAAATATTTCTAATGGTTCACAGTTATACATTGAGTACACACAAATATATAGATATTAATGAACTATTTGTGACGTTACAACAAGAAAGAGCATGCATTTGATCAACAACTCTGAACAACCATTAATCACTGAAACTTAACAACATTCATCGGTAACATCATTACAGTTCAATAAGTATTGAGTTGTAAGCTGTGCAAAGATCTACCAGAAAGTTATGTAATTTTGGAAAATTGAGTAATTATCAACTGTGAATTACAATATCATTGTGGGTATGTCAGTATTTTAACATCAAATTCTGTAAAGAAAAATCCTGGGGATACATTTTATTGTGGCTGGTCAATCTGTCAGAAGTCTCTTCATTGCTGAAAGGGTCCAAATTTTGAGATTTTAAGTCTCTTCATTACTGAAAGGGTCCAAATTTTGAGATTTCAAGTCTCTTCATTACTGAAAGGGCCTAAATTTGAGATTTTAAGTCTCTTCAATTACTTTTGAGATTGTATCTTCCAATATCTTGATTTCAATTGAAGAAATATTTGACCTTGTCAGATTGATTTAACATTCCAGAATTTGCAAAACTTCAATAACTAATTTACCGCTGTAAAGCTAAACAAGCTAGATCATAAATATCAACATGGTAAAACTCCTCCCTTTATCACAAATATATCTGTACTGTATTCAACCTTTATTTGTTAATTACAGTAAAGTTTCTAGCATCTCGAAATTACAACTGAACTTCTTACAACTATACTATCAAATCCATAACATGATATTAGAATAAAATATATTTATTGCACTTTTATCTCCATACAACAATTGAAGCTATTTTCATAACAATTCTACCTTTATATTACAGTATACAACCTTCTGATGTACCTGGGATTTTAAAGACAATCAAAACTGAAGGAGTTTGCTGAAACTCTCAAGATGATCACAATGTGTTTTAAATTTCATTTATTTAAAAAAAGGTGGTTTTTTTTGAGTGACAGGCTTAAAAACCTAGATTGTCAATTAAGTATTTGCGACTGCCTTTTTATAAGTAAGAAATGTATAAAAACTGTAACATACATGTACATGTACATCCACATGCCAAGATTTTAACCACATGTAGATTGACAGCAGATTAAAAACTGCCAGAAAAAAAATTAAAAATATACCCTGTATAACTAAGAAAACAGTTGAAAAGATTAACAAAATAGTAGCAATGTACCTCCCTTGGGTTTCTTAATAAAAATTTTAAAATAAAATAAAAAAAAATCATCCGTGTCAAGGTAGTATACAATGGTGTATATCTTTGCTCCTTGACTACATAATTAAATAGCAGCATTTCACAACAACTCACACTTTATAACTTGATGACATGAGACAAAAATATTGGCCTGAGAGTTTTCCTACCAATACAGATTCCTTTAATGTGTTGGGAAAGCATTTTCAAATCGTTTGCCTTTTTAACAGACTAGATAATACATTTATAAATACAACGTAATTGCTATTAACTTAAGTAATAAGAATGAAGACATACCAGGGTAATTTATTACCATTTCTTTGGGTAATATGGTTGCCATTTACCTGGATAATACAAGTGACCACATACCAGGGTAATATATTATTGTTTCTTAGGGTAATACATTCACCATTTACCAGGGTAATATATTATCATTCCTTTGGGTAATTAGGTCACCATTTACCTGGGTAATAGATTTATCATATACCGGGCTATTGCATTTACCAGAAACTTAGGTAATACTGTATAATTACCATACAATTTACCTGTACGAATCCCTGGGGTTCAGTCCTTATAAAAAAAGGGAAGCCCAGGGGGTCAGTCTATAGAAAAGGGGGTCAAATAAGCCAGTAAATTGGATAATTTCATAATACTGGCCTATATATATATATATCATTAAATTCTGAAACCATTTTGGTGCGGTTTTTGTCAGTTTGTTCATCTTTATTTGTGATTATTTAATGCAGTGTTAGTTCTAATTAACATCTAATCACAATGCCATTTAAGATTATGATGGGAATGTGTTGTTTGTTTCGTCATCAAGTTGTATTCCTTCATCAAATAAACCATAAGAAGTAAAATTCCACAAATCTTTGCTATGTTTTGAATTGATCCTGTGATGCAAATTTAAACATACAAATCTCAAAGAGATTTAAGCAAACAAATTTCTTGTGACACAATGAATCATTTATGCCCATTTTAAATGTATACTACTCCAGTGTATGATTGTTTATACGGAGAAATGTCAATCATCGCACAAAACAATTCAAATGAAATGTCTTTCGCTGCCGTTTCAGACTAGGAAATGATGGAATGTATTTGTGGTGGAATTTAAGTACTTTCAGTTGATTTCATGAAAGACACAAATGACAAATCAGAAAATGTTTCTAAACTTCTCTGTCATAGCATGAAAAATGAAGCTATTACAGTTCTTTTTCATCATAATGATTAATGTTACATCCTTACTTCATAAAGATTTCCTTTCAATTTAGAAATTTTGTAAATATTTCTATACAAGGACAACCAGTTCAGTAATCATTGAAAACATTTTGATATGACCTTTTCCCAAGATGGCCAAATTTTTTTAGTATATCACCTGATGCTATATTTTCCTCCAAAGGCAGACTAAACAATTGCCCAAACATTAGCTGTTGTGTACAGTTAACTCTGGTACATTCGATCTTCGAGGACCCTCTCAAGTCGCTCGAGATAATCCGCATACTCATTCTCCGTCATTCCACTGAACTTGTTTTTCAGGCCATTCCTTCCACTTCCGAATCTTCCGAAACTCATTGCCTACAAATAAATCATGAGATTAAGATGCTACTAGTTACACTACAATCTGCCACCTGGGTTTATTTGCATGAAAATTGATGTCTTCAGTTACACTTTCAATCATTTAGAGTTGCTTGTAATATTATTATTGTTATATATTATTATTATAGTTGATGGGAAAGTTCATTTCTGTAAGGTAGCATACATCTATAACATGATTATCGATATAAACTAGCCATCGTAATCAATACACCAGTCAATAGCAATACCAGACAATAAAGTGCTTTAATCCTCTCAGCACTGCTAACACAACGTCAGTAGTTAAATGGTATTTACCATCTTTCCACTGGACCTCTCTGGCATAAGAATGAAGTCCAGCTTTAGAGCTTCATGCAGAGGCTGGTTATCCACAACAACCCTCTGATTCTGGCTGACGTATCCAGGTTTTACAGCTTTTATCATGTAGTCACCACTGACCAACAGCCGATAGTAGTCACCACCCTTGACTGGAAACCAGAAGTAAGCAACATAATTTATAGTTATACATTGGAATTCAATAACACAAACATCAGAAGTACATATACATCTTAATTCCTGCCTACAGGACACTTGCTGTTCTCAATAACTTACAGGTAGTGATGTCGTGATCAATGTAGGTCCAGCCTTTCCTGGTCTCGGGTGTGTATTTGTAAACTTTAATGGCTACATCCTCCAGCGGTTTCATGGTCTCGCCATCTTTTACAACTCCCTTCACGCCAATGTGTGTCTTAAAAGGAAATTTTACATGTGATCTCCGTGTATAAAGTTGTTACGTAACACAGTGGAATTGTACAATCTAAACAATAAAAATCTGTGTGTAAAGAGTTACAAAACAATTGGGAATACCAGTCATCTTCCAAGAACTCACATAAGATCTAAAATGATGGTGAAATCACAAACGACGAGTTTGACTAAAGTATTATAGATTTGTTCATAAATTCTAATTTGTATCAATTGTCATTTAACTAAAAAAACTTTGGAAACAAATATTCATGCTTATCCATGATTTTGTAATATAAGGCATGTTGATGAAACATTAAAGAGGTAAATATCAAAATACTGAATGCAATCTTTCGTTTGTGTGTGATTTACTTTTGTGATTTTTCAATCAAAACAATCTGCAAAAGTAAATTGCTGTGAATTATGACAAGAATGACAGAAAGTGGTTTTCTGTTGTACAGATCAAATCTACAACAACAGTCTTCCTACAACAGTTTGTGTTGTGTGCTAACAAGCTGTTGAAGAGAAAAGATCATTTGCAGGGTCAGTCTCCTGTATTGGTAGTTTTTTTTTAGTCTTGAAAGATCAGTGTCACTCACCTATTAAGGTTCACAAATACACATTTAAACCATTAGCATTTTGTCTAAATCTCTCCTATCTATCACATCAGAGATGCTTATAAGAGGGAGGATTTCATGAAAAACATATTTTGATATGGAAATTTGCGAAAGCTTATAGCCACAAAAATAAAATTTTTATCTGATTTTGAGGAAACTCAACAACGATATATGATTATGGGAATCTTAATTCCAAGTCTCACCTGTAACATAAAATTCACCAGTGCTTCCTTGTTCTGAATCCAATACTCCTTCTCGTCCTTGGGAAATTTGTCACAACCCAGTTCCACAGTAATCTCAAAACAATTGCTAGCAGCATAATTAAAGTCTTGCATACCTACAATCAAAGTTACCATACATTATGTAATTTCATAGAAGCCAAGAGTCTCTAAATAAAAATCTCTTTATTGTGGATACTTAACTTTAAGGATAAGTACTGATCAATAAGGATACTTATACTAATCTTGACAGTTTGAGGACATGAATTTATGGATTAAGTCAGGGACGTATAATACAGTATTATACGTCCCTGATTAAGTGTACCCACAATATCAATGAAAATAAATCTCTCACGAAAATTCAGGATTTTACAGTATAAGGAAATTATAAAAATCATTTATCAATTTACAAAATCAATTTTTTATCCTCAATATTTTATGATAAATTCAGTGATAATTCCTGTATTATGCCAAAACGATATGTCCTTCCAGAATTCTTTAACTATTTTAATTAGCAGTGACCTTTTAAGGTTAACTGTACAAACATTTAACACGAGATATTCACCCAGTCTATAAACTTCTTACAGGATCTGGTAACATATTTAATTTGTTTTACCTCCTGCAACTGAGTACCAGGCTGCTCCATTGGTGATCCCTCCCTGCTTGGCGAAGTCATCGTCCCCTGACATATCACACGTGGGGTGATCTTTTGCCATCAGTGTGTGGTAAAGGGAATAGCTCTTAGCCAGGTATCTGTGCCAGGAAAATGCAATGGTGTTAGTAGGGTTTATAATAACTTGAATGTTTCCACATGTTCTTGCTGATATCAGTCAATTTTGGTCATATAGTTCATACTGATATAAAACATCCTATAGAATATGCCAAAATTCCAGTCAAACTAATGAGGAAAAACTTCAACCCTTTGTCCTTTCTCTTTGTTTACAGGTATTTGTTTTATATTTTGTGCTCTGCATGACCACATTTCAGGTAAAGAAAAGCATATGGAAATCAGTATAGGTATCACTTCTATGAAATCTTTTATTGGAATTTTGCATATTTTCTTTTCATTAATAGTACATGATATTACAATTGGTTTCTCTGTAATCACAACTCAAGAGGAATTTCCAGAGGAAAATTGATGCATACATTTATCATTATTTTAATATTATGTTTTAAATCTCAATAAGATGGCAAAATATTTTTTGCAGTTCAGATTCAGCTAGGATTGGCCATCATGGCTCTAAAAACAATTATACACTGCTTAGATATGCCCTTAATCTGATATTTGATTGACACCACATCACATATGCAATATTCACACATCTGACTTCTGAATTGTATTCGGCAATGCTGTGTGGACCTAGCGGCCAATCAGTATTCTAGTTTTGTATTTATTCCTTGCTGTCTAATTCACAATGGGGTGTATTTACCTGAAAGTTTCATCATCAGGGGAGCCTGCATATTGTGATACTCCTTTACGAAAACTTTCATCAAATGGATAGTTGGCTACCAAGTCCCCACCGTGTAGGTTGGCAGACAGAACAAATGGGTTCTCTGTGATGTAACGAATCAGTTCAATGGTCTCTGGCTGCAGCTACAATAACATTAGATAACCAAGACTTGAACACACTGCTTTATCAATAATATACCATACATCTTTAATATTCTGTTTGAATTTTTTGTGAAACCTGAGAATCAGGTTTTCATATTACGTTGGTTCTGAACTGAAAATCAAGGGATGATGTTTTACACCAAAACATGGGAAATACTTGTATTATAATACATCTGTGTCTGTGTTGAACTGTTCCTATAGCATATTGAATCAAAAACATTAAAAAGGACAGCAGTATAAAAGGACCCCATTTAATCAGAAAAAAAAACCCATTTAGGAAACTGCAAATACAAACACTGATAGAAATTAAACAATAGCACTTGTAAAGTTTGTTGCAATGAGAAGTAATGAAAACAAATTTCAAAGGCTTACATGAAAATTCACTATTTTCACCCTTAGAGGGAACTTCAGATTTCTGGTCTTTAAATGCTTGTCATAAAAATTTTTTGATTGGCCTCCAGCATGTTGTTCAGTGTGGTAGCCACCACCTATTTCAGGAAGAACCAACCTAAAAATGATGTGGCTGTTCACAGGGCAATAAACCCAGCACACAAGTCATCAGATCACTGACCTTTGGACCATCTGGTAAATATGTGGGAAGTGTGAGTAGAGATACAGGCAAGGGTATAAATAAATGGTATGACTATGAGTTAACAGTTATTTTAACAGTTTATATTAGTACCATACCCTCCCTAATGGCTGTTGATTAACTTCAGCTCTCCCAAATTGCCAGCTATAAAACAAATTTATTGATACATAGTTTATATAGAAACTTAACAAATGGTCAGTGATAGTGAAAATTGTAGCAATTTATAACGACATCATTGATGAATGACAGAATTGTTTTCCTGACATAAAAAACCCATCACACAGTTGAGACAAAAAGGACTTGATGCTGTTTGAAACGAAGGCCAGTAAATCATAGATATTATGAGTATTGTCCTATATGTAAACCAACATCATCTGTAAACATCAATTTTCTTGCTTTTCATTGGAGTAACAACAAATTACATCACACAGGAACATAGCTGTAAGCCACAAAATGATACTTAGTAGTAAGTTGTGTTCTACAAATACAGGTGTACTTCAGAACTTTATTTATATTTTTCGAAGAGTTGTAAATTGGGGTGGGGGTGGAGGGTGGGGGTGGTGTTTGAATACTTTTCATAAAATGTCAACAGAATACATGTGTCGTGATATATGGTAGAATACATAATGTACAATTATCATGTCACTGACAATTGTTACATTAGTAATGACATAATCATCCACTTTAAGCACAGGGTGTATACTGGGTATTTCACAGATGAGGCCCAATTGATTTTTTAATGGCGGTCCTCTGCATAGTTTGAATGTGATTACACAAAGTGTCAATATGACTGCTCTATAACACATATGTGAAGTGAATACAAATTATGGAGTAAAAAGTATTGTCTCTGCCTGATCTTAATGCATGTAAGGAAATTGTGGGTTAAAGTTTGATGTTATATAAAGTCTATGAAATACAAGTTTTTATGCATTTTCGGTTGAATTTTCGGTTGGATCAATAATAGCTGTATGCAAAGGCAAAAGTCACACTGGACAGATGTTTACCTCTACACTGTAGAATCTGATAATAAATCATAAACGTACAAGATCAACTTTTTCCGTATAAATAAGAATACTAGATGAATTACATACCCTATTAAATATGAAATTTTATGCCAAGAGTGCACTGCAAGCAACCCATGTGCCCCTGGTAGAAAGTTCCACAGGCTAGTTGTGTAGGAAATACAGCACAGACAAACTTTTCATTTGATTTGATACAGGTCAAGATCAAAATGTAGGTCATGAGTGACATATTTTTGATACATGACACATTGCCTTACCGAGGTGAAACCATACCCTAAGTAAGTATAAGTGACTCGTAGCATAGGAGATAGGGCCCAAATAAGATAATGCTAGGACAGACGCAAAGATGGACAGACGGACACACACAAATCTTTAGTTCCCCCTTTCTAGTTCCAGGTTCTAGGAAGGGGATCAAAAAAAAAAAAGAAAAGAAAAACCCCAAAAAATGGAAAACAGTATGTGAAAGTTGTCTAGTACATGACTGCACTTAATTTATGCATTGGTAAAATGCAAATCATTTTGAAAACAAGTCTGGTATAGTTACAGTGAACTTTCACAGGTCACAAGGTTTTATTATATTAAGAATTATATTCTAGGTTATTCAAAAGCATTTAGTCCTTATATGGAGACAACATTGTAGCTCAACTGTATGTGAACTGCATTATAGTAACCTATCCTTGTATATCTTTTGAATTGAGTTTATGGAAAATATAAGAAACAATATTGCTTTTGGGCATTCAAATTTTCACTAAAACAGATCAAATCTTCTACTGGTTGTGTTATCCGAATTAGCATTCTATTGACATTACCAACCTGAAGACAATATTATGAAATTTTCACATTTTGTTTGTTTCATTAATTGATCTGTACGAAACCTTATTGTAAACATTAGTAAAGTATACGTCAAAAGTGTGCCATGTAAGTTAGTCTTGTAGATATAACATATTGTTGTCTGAACATGTTACAAGATCAGAACTCACACCTCAACTTACATTAGGAGTCTTCAGAGCCTCTTTTTCACTTTTAACGTGGTTGTTAGGACCGTCACCTCGATGAAGTGCGGGGTCTAAATCTGGGAAGTTCCTGTTCAAGTCAACATTATTTCCATTTGACCGTCCTGTTAGCCAGTTACGTTGACCATTCTGAAAGTAAAAGTTACTCTTGTATTAAAGTATTGTTGGCTATTTTTACATCAATGGTGACCAATGACCTGCAATAAGCCCATCCCTGACTTTGAGTCTTAATTTGGATGTTGGCCATATTAGGTTCAAGTTTTATAGATAACCATATTCAAAATCTACAGTGACTTTGAGCTAGTAGGATGAGTGGTAACCACATTAAAAATCTACAGTGACTTTGAGCTAGCAGGATGACTGTGATAACCACCTTAAAAATCAACAGTGACTTTGAGCTAGCAGGATGACTGTGGTAAACACATTCAAAATCTACAGTGACTTTGAGCTAGTAGGATGAGTGGTAACCACATTAAAAATCTACAGTGACTTTGAGCTAGCAGGATGACTGTGATAACCACCTTAAAAATCAACAGTGACTTTGAGCTAGCAGGATGACTGTGGTAACCATATTGAAAATCTACAGTGACTTTGAGCTAGCAGGATGACTGTGATAACCACATTAAAAATCAACAGTGACTTTGAGCTAGCAGGATGACTCTGGTAACCATATTGAAAATCTACAGTGACTTTGAGCTAGCAGGATGACAGTGATAACCACATTCAAAATCAATAGTGACCTTGAGCTAGCAGGATGACTGTGGTAAACACATTCAAAATCTACAGTGACCTTGAGCTAGCAGGATGACTGTGGTAAACACATTCAAAATCTACAGTGACTTTGAGCTAGCAGGATGACTGTGGTAAACACATTCAAAATCTACAGTGACCTTGAGCTAGCAGGATGACTGTGGTAAACACATTCAAAATCAACAGTGACTTTGAGTTGGCAGGATGACTGTGGTAAACACATTCAAAATCTACAGTGACCTTGAGCTATCTCAGCTGATACATTCTACTTTACATCACTTACTATAACATTAACTTCAACCAGCAAGATTTTGGCCAAGATACCAACACTAAATTAGGGATACTAGACTAATTCATATCTTGACATAGATTGTTGGCATATTGAAAAACAAACAAAAAACTTGAATTATCAATGGCAAATTATCAAAAAAAAACATTGTTATCTTGGCATTTAAATCATTGGTGAAATTTTTTTTCTCATTTCTCTTTTTTTCTTAAATATTTTTCTACAATTGACTGAGTGAAGTTGAAGCAGATCCATCTGACTGACTTTGTACTACTGCAAAAGCAGCTTTTTAACTAGAGTCTCAGTCATAGATGTTTAGACACACTGATACCCTAATCTGCACATAAGTTTGAAATTCAAAACATTTGTGACATTATGTTCTCCAGGCCATGATGTTTCTATTTCTGGTGTAAAGGAGATTGTAACCGACTTTCTCCAGAGAAAAAACTGACTATTGTAGGCACCACCTACAAGTTATCATCAACAATGTTATGCCTCATCAAGCTAATTTCATTTTCTGACAAATTGACCTATAAGGAAAACTGACATTACATAATTATTTATCAGTTTATGATCAAGTGTAATATTAATTATACAGTGGTAAACTTGTAATCTACATCACAGATCACCAAATGAAAAATACAAAATTTACATGTAATAATTCTGGAAAAAAAAGTTTAAAAATTTATTTTTTCCCATAAATCTCTTTAAACAATACATATTTTAGTTTCTTTTCTCCTTGGTACAATCATTTTGAAACTGGACGTGTGAGGTCATTCAAAATTCAAACCTTTTGTTATAAGATCTGTAAGTCACGAACTCATTGTGAAGTAAGCGTCTCTATGTAAATGTTTAAAGTAAAAGTACTCTGCAAGAATGCAATCACATGAAAGTACTTTGAACTAACTATACAAATAGGATAAGGCACGTTAGAAAAATTTACCCTCCAGTTTGAATAGAAATTATTTGTAAATTTGTCCTTTGAAGATCACATTTAAACTGTTTGGCCTCAAACCCTTCAAAATACATGCATTGTTATTCCTACCCTGGGTCATACTCATTTAAATGTACAATATATAGCTATGAGCATGTTTGAGAATTTAAATATCTGTCATATTATGTTTTTTGTTAAAGAAAAAAAAATGGATACAAAGACAAACTTAACACTACATTGTCTACAGACTTCACATGATCATGAGTTACAGGCTTGTTCTGAAATCCATTAAATTCATGTAGCACACAACAATTTTAAACAATAGTGAAAGAAAGCAAATGAAATACAAAATTTAAACAGTATATGAAAACCAGATGAAATGTGAGAGTAACACCAAATATTTGCCCTCTGGAGATTGAACGCAGTGACACCATATCAAATCCTCCATTAGGGAAATATATCTAGCTTTCCTTTTCCATACAAATGTTTAATTCTGATATATCTGATTTCAGTACACAAGTTAATCACATCCTGGTGTGAGGATATTCAATTTCCAAGCCTATATATATATTTCAGAGCTTTTTAGTCAATGTTCTCATTATATCTATCTATCATCATATCTTTATGGGTATTTTCTGGAATCAAATGCTAGGACTTTCACAGATGGCCTAATTCAATATTTTTGGATATTGTTTCATTTTGGGACGATAACACACACACATTACGGCAAGGGGAGACTGCCTTTTATTTGGCTTTAAAACTTGACAAAATAAATCTGATTGTACAACACATAATATACCATTCTAAATGGTAAAAGTACATGATATTGTTATCACTACATGTGATATTTATAGATGTAAGACCTGAATATAAATAGTCACAATGTAATGATGATAACATATAAGTACCTATTTTCAGGTCTAGATCTGGGTGTATCACATCTGTATTAATATCAGTGAATGCTTTTCTACTAACTTGTCCCATGGGGTAAGACTACATGGACCATAACACAAACATATGGGTGAACAGAACCTCTCAAAATATCAACTTCTTCTATATCAGTAAGGAAATTATTTTTGGAAGATGGAATTTACATGAGGAAGTATGTCCTTTAAAGACAAAATCAATACAGATATCCAGTCTGTTTTATAACTTCATTTTTTGTTGTTGCAAGCTTTTGTTGAAAATTTGAACCATTATGAGAAATTAAAAAGGAAAAAAAATAAACAGCACACAATTTTACCAGAGACCTTATATGTAATCAAGATAAAGAATTTTCATGCCCATATGTACTCTTGTTCCTTGTCATCAGTGAGAATTGCCTTCTAAAGCACATGTCCAGAATATTTCTGATTGAAAAAAACTTAAATATCATACAATACTAATGTCACCAAAATATTACTGAAAATCTGAAACTCTAATCTACCAACACCATAGACAAAACATTTACTTTTTCAATATCAATGGTACAGGCCTATTGTATACCCTTTTCAACCAACTGATATACATCAATATAGTCATACAACCAATAACACAGCTAATCTTAATGCCACACCTCCTATTTTGCTGATAACTCTCGAGCGTATGCGTGGGAGTGTTGTCAGGACTACCAGTGTGTGGAGGCAGAGGATTGCCAGGCTATCGTAAACTTCCTCTATTGATTATTGAGTTAGACGGTAATTAGATCAGTGCTGAGTCCGTGTATCTGTACTAGCAAATATATAAAAGCACCACTGATGACAACGGTGACAAAATCAGATATTTCGTATGTTAAAAAGTCTTATTTCTGTACCTACAGTTAGATCTTCTACAATAATATCATATTTAACTGAAAAAGGCAAACCAATTTGACGGAAAAGAAAAATGAGATTGAAGCTGTTAAGGAAACAAAGATTTTGTTTTAAACACATATTTAAAGTCCCATCTAAACATAGAAGGCAAAGCTTGTGTCCAAATGACTTCTTATCTTGTCATTTGCAAGTTGTTTCTGTTGATCAAAAGTATGTGAGAATATTCAGATTTGGTAAAGTCATTTAACATAATAACATTTTCACTGACATACAAAGCTACTTGTATAATGGTTGTTACAAGAATGTACTGAATCTGTTGAGATCTTAGCGTTTTACTACGGTAGTAAAGATAATTTTCTTTTGTGTGTGTTCCTGTGCCAAATTTGAGTAGAAAAATCAGTTTATCTTATCAAACATAGAGAGTTTATATAGACTGACTTAATAGATCTGATACACAACAACTGAAATAATCTCTTGTTATACTGTTAACCTGAATTTTCTTTCATTCATTTTATTTGCCAAGGTATATATGACAGACATTTAATTTACAAATGTGAAAATTGATCTAGGGTTCATGCGATTTAAAATCACACAAATTCATGTTTCCAATTCTTCATAGATATAAGAGAATTATTACTCCCTTAACAGAAATAAAATCTTTTGAAACTTAAGAATATGCTGCCACAGGTTATACACTTTCCTGCTTGCTTTGATAATAAATTGATTTCAATTTATCCATTAACATCAATTTAACACACACACACAAAAAGAGAAAAAAACTGAACTAGTGTTTATCATCAATTCTGTCATTCGTCATGATCACTATTGATCGCTTGCCATGCAGCACAAGTTCTGGTCCTTTTTTTCATCAAAACTATTATTGCAGTATAGCCCCATAATCTTTCAGGTCTTTGGAATATTCTTATGTCAAACTTGACATGCAATAAAGTGCCTCTCCATTCTGATAAGATTAAATCCTGGAGTCCATGTTTTTACAGAATGACTGCTATTCAGTATTTACACTTCATTTTTAACCTCCCATTTTGATACATACATGCTACTGCACAATGAGAAGACCTTTTCTGCTTTAAAGGTAAAACTTCTTCAATCCTTTTATATGATTAATTCTACATACTTGTGATCTCAATAAGTATCGTCTAGACATTGGTTCCAGTTTGCTATATATTTCGGTGCTGTCACTTTGTTGAAATGTATTATATGAACTATCGACCTATGTGGCCTAAAACCTGGATGATTTTGAATTCTGTAACATGTGACACTTCTCAAAAGTAACTGAGATTAAAAATTGAAAATACCATGAGTAATCATCTCATTGGTAAATTTGGGTAGTTTTTCTTAATACATATCTTCCTAGAAAACATAAAATAGCCAATCAGTCGATCTTCTGAAGCCAGTTATTTGTTGTCGTCCATCAAGCGCACACATAGCTATAGATATCCACTTGACAAGGTTTTATTTTGATTTTTTTACATCTACACTGGGGTAGAAGTCTTTCCAGTTCTAAGAGATAATTTTACGTGAAATTTGTGCATATCTGAGCCACTGCTGGTCTAACTCAAACGTCTCTGTGATTCAGTGATGTCACTAGAAACAGATGACTGTCATTTCAGGTGAGCAAATTTGAGGTTGTATTTGAGATATCTTTCAGAACAAGAGGCCCAAGGGGCCTGCATCTCTCACCTGGTTAGTTCAGCTATTCAGTCTTTTAATAAAGATTTTATTTATGACGAACAATTTTTTTTATTTAATTTCTCTATTGAGTACAGGCCTTGTGGTCAAACAAAGCCAAATACACTATTCATACATATTGCCTCAGACCAAACTTTGTATGGAAGGAGGATGTTTAAGAACTTACATTTCAACAGTTGGGCCAATCCCTTCCACCCTTGGGGGCCAGGGTGAACTGTTTAGAATTGATGCTCTTTTACCCTAGAATACATCAGACCTAACCTTGGCTAAAAGTCCAATCATTCCTGCAGGAGAAGATTATTAAAAAGAATTTGCTATATTTCCACTGTTGGGTACTGCTCTTTCAGCCCCAGGGTGTTGAGGCCTTATATCTATGCAAGATTGATTCCCCTTCACCCAAGAATGCTTCAGACCAAATTTGGGCAAAATCCATTCATTCGTACAGAAGGAGAAGGATTTTAAAGAACTTGCAAAATTTCCCCTTCTGGTCCCTGCCCCTTGAACCCCTGGTGGTTGGAGATCTAATATTTATACAAACTTGGTTCCCCTTCCCCAAAAGATGATTCAGACAAAATTTGGTGAAAATCTGGTCTTTCGTTCATGACTAGTGGTGATTTTTAAGTTAAATCCTGACAGATGCGATGGCATAAGCTCATCAGTCCTTCCAACCAGGTGAGCTAAATATACTGGTGTTTCACTTATCATTTTATTGAAAAATGGGGCAAAACCACAATTAGCCAGGTTACAGGATGAGTGCAGTGTTATATGGTATTTATAAGACATTTAAGGGTGTTTCATTTCTTGAATATGTAGAATATTTGTTATAAGAGGCAAAGGCTGTCATCTTGGATTTTCCATGCCAGACTGTTGAAAATGACTAAGTTCCAAAGCCCGGAAAATCAAGAAACCGGAATGAATCCATAGTAGGAGGTGCACATCTTCAACATATATATAAACATCCTACAAAATTTCCAGCTTCTACATCAAAAACCCTACGAGGAGTTGATTCTACAAAACTGGTACCCCTTTTCCCCACCCGCCATACACCTTACTATCACCCAGAATTTGCACTATGTGCAACTCGGCCAATAAGATTCCTAGGTTGAACACATTTCAATACATTAATGTATTTGTTTGGTTGCAAATCATCAATATAGCATTGCTACCGATATATGATTAATAAGGGGTCCAAAACTAATGCACCAAGAATACTCTTTAACTGTATTGACTCCATCTATTCTACAAGTATAGATACAGCATTGCTACTCTTATCTCTCTTGTGCTAAGTGCATTGGCGGAGTGAAACAACTAAATTTCGGGAAACTTGTAATTGTCACTAAAGTGTGCAACAAGCACAGGTACTAAGTTTGCTGATAAAAATATAGTATGTAATATATTATATTATACACACTATTTTTTTATCACCTAGCCAAATGCCTGTGGTTCAAGATACAGTCAAACCTGTCTTTAAAGGCTACTGAAGAGAGCAGATAAAAGTGGTCTTTGTGTAAAAGTGGCCTTTATAGACAGGTGGCCTCCCTACAGTTCAATTTCTATGAATTGCATTACAACTGCATTACAACTGCATTACATAGGGAACCAAAAATGAGGCCTTTATAGACAGGTGACTTTTAAGACACGTTTGACTTTATGTAGCTTCAAGTGGTCTGAATCTACTGACAATTAACTTTTCTTGCATTTAGTTCACTATATACATCATGCTGTAAAATTGTCATCAGATTTAATCAAATGTCATTAATTTGCAGTTAGTCTAACAATTACCCAGCAGCGAAATAAGACAATGAATCCATATACCAGTTGACTTCAAATACACATTCACATAACATACAGTGTTATAGTGATCATTGATCGGCTTATTTGTGGGCTATTTCTGTTCCTTATGTTATACTCTCAAACACTGCAGCTCTGATTTAAAACAACTGTGACACATTATTAATGAAGATATCATTTTGGTTTGAGTAGATGGAAATTGGTGGGCTAAATTTATCAAGCCAATCAACTTTTCAAAAGTTGGGAAATCAATGACATTAACAAGACTTCTGTTTTCACAAGTCAATGTTAGCCTCCCAAAGAATTTTAAATCTGAAAAACAAAGCAGTATACATGATGGAAACTTTTATTTCTTTGCCTGAATGTGGAAGGTCTTTTTATTTACAGTTCTTCAATGAGACATTCTTATTACCTTATCTAGGGGGCCACTGTTAGCTGCCTCCCATCCGTCAGGGTTCATGGTAGGCATAAGATGAATGCGGGTGTGATGGATGAGCCATGTAATAGTCTCGTTGCCTTTCTTGTACTGTTCACACATGTACATACCAAGTTTCAGCAGCATCTCACGTCCTACCACCTCATTTCCATGCATGTTTGCCACATATTTAAACTCTGGAACACCTGCAAAAGAAAAATATTAGCTGTAATTTATGCGCAGTTTAAGAAATGTTAGGAATGGTATATGCAGCATCATTCATAACATAATTTTTAATTTCACACTTTCAGTTTTTCTTTGATTCATGAAACTTAAGACATTCTAGCAGGTCTGAAGACCACAGAACTAAAAGACATCCTAGCAAGTCTGAAGACCATAGAACTTGAGACATCCTCGCAAGTCTGAAGAGCATAGAACTTAACACATCCTCGCAAGTCTGAAGAGCATAGAACTTAACACATCCTCGCAAGTCTGAAGACCGTGATAGAACTTCAGACATCATCGCAAGTCCGAAGACCATATGACTTACACATCCTAGCAAGTCTGAAGACCATAAAGCTTATGACAGCCTAGCAAGTCTGAAGGCATAAATATTGGAAAAGAAGGAAAGGAAAAATTGAAACAAGAACAAAATAACTACAAATTGACATTACAAAATATATTTTAAAAATATTACCAAAGTTAAAAATATCCAGAAACAGTTCAGGACAGGCAAATAAGAACAAAGTGAGTAGGATTTCACATATACAGCGGGTCTATCCGCAAAATTGTACTCAATAGAAAGTTACCTATGACATGTTCTCCTGGTGAGGTAGAGAATTCAATCACTTTCAGAGGACGATGTTGGACCGACTCGCCGACGGAATAGATACGTGTGATATCTGGACATTCCGTATTGATCTCGTCCAATGCTGCAGCAACTTCCTTAGTATTGTGGTTTCTCAACTCAAATCCAAGACATAATGCTGGCACGATCACCAACAAAATGCTTAGTTTAAGCATGTCAACTTTTGTTTTTCTAAGAGTTCCTCCTTTGAGTGAAACAAAAATGAAGTACGAAAGATCAACTATACAATATGTTATTTCTACTGTCAACGAGCACCTGCTGTTACGGTTATGTTTATACCGGGATGACGTAAATATTGACGTCAAAGGGAGCATTCCTTACGTGACTGTAAAAAATATATATACAGTGTTATATATTAGGTTTCTTATCAATACTTTTCATTATTAAATACAACATATTTTTTTATTGTTGAAATTTAATCGGTATATAAAATCCTGTCAAACGTCAATCATGAAAAGTAATAAAACATTTAAATTAATTTATAAACAAATAGTTCCCCTTTTTATGGTACATATATATTTCAAATTTGTAACGAAAGTGGAACACGAAGTCATACTATATCAACGTTTGATCAATGATAACATAGAATAAAGAAACTACGTTGACTTTTACGAATTATTTTAGATGTTCTGTAATTACGACCAATATAAGGTAACATAGGATAGTATGGAGTAACTTGACCTGGCGATCCGAAAATTGTAAATTACAAGGAGCGGAAGTTCCAAATAGAAAGTATGGCTGCTGCTTTCAGGCTCGTTGGCGGCTGCAAAGAGGTTTTACGAAATGTAGTCAATGTTACGATTAGGTAAAATGCTTAATATTGACACATATCATATTAAATTATAAGTAAATAATATGACGCACTCTTCCTCCCGTGTCATAAGAGACTGATTTATTAACGGTCTTGTTTGTAGTGACGGTAAGGCCTGTGACTGCGCCAGGCTAACATTAAATGTATAGAAGTGGTTTGAATATTATTTTGTTTAACAATTTCACTTGTAACATATTGTAAATATTCACGATAACAAATGGGATAAGGCACAAATTATTTGTAACCCTGGTAAATATTAGTTGCAATATACCACTCAGCTAGATAGAACACTTTAGCTCAATAGGTTGAGTGTCGGACTAGTAAGCAAGGGGTCCTGGATTCGAATCCTAGCAGAGGCGTTGAAAGGAATAACGAATCCTCGTTACATTGGCGCAAATGTAGGGATTTAGATGACATCACTATAATCACTGGAAACACAAAAACAAGTTATTTCCTGGAGGGGGAATATGTAACTCCTGGTGAATACTAGCTGCAATATACCACTCCGCTAGGGAGAACCACTCTTAAGCTCAATAGGTCGAGAATCGGTTTAACAACCCAAGGGGTTTCCGAGTTTGAATCCTAGTGGAAGTATTGAAAGGAATAATGACCTCTGTTACAATTATTTGATATTTAAATAGGGTGTTGGAGCATAGGTTCCAACATCTGTTGATTTTCGCTATCACATCTGTATGGTATAACCAACTGCCAATAACAGAACAAAAAAAACATGCAATTTTAATATAGTAGAAAATGTTCATGACATGTCTCTTAAATTTGCACAAAGCAATGATCCAGAATGTTATACAGTTGCATGCATTTATTAAAAATCAGGTTTTGTGCACATATAATTATCAGACTTTATTACATGTATGTACATCCTATTTATTTGATTAAGTACCTATTCAAGTGTCGAGCTACTTTAGTCCAAAGTTGTAGAGTACTATGATCATTATCACTAGCTTGTGAAGGCATAATAAATACATATAATAAAAGAAAAACTCTTAAATTAGGCTAAACATAATGCAGTATGGTTTCAGCCTGCTGTCACAGCCTTTAGAACTAGCTGCTCCTTCCAATTGTAGCTTGTGATTGGTGGAAATAATCAGAAGATTTACCGGCAACCCCAAATGACAGTCTTAGGCTATGAAAAATGCTGCCTTCTGTCAAAACAGTGTCATGCATGCATACGGTCACTATGAGACAATAAAGTATTGTACTAAAACTTACCAAAATTGGCAGACTAGGTGTTTATGAAGTTGATTGAGATTTGCATCCATCATGAACTAGCATTGCTCTGGTTTGCAGAGAATTCTCTGTTGCGGGACAGTATGGTAGAATGCAGGGAGTTGTGGGATCAATGCCATCTATTCTTAGAGGTCTATAAAAAATTGGCATTAAGTAATAATTAGCAACAGGAAAAGTCGTAAACACTCCTCAGAAAAAAAATTTGAATAATCAATGGAATTTGCAACATCATAGATATGATCACAGTACACCTTTTAAATAAGTTTCATGTTGATATTTGTAAAATCAATTGAGTAATGGAGAGTTCAATTTTCTTCAGTCACCAGCGGCACTATACATTGTGTATCACACTATAGGACAGCATCTTTAATTATATATCTTAAGATATTAATGTGACATTTGTCCCTGTTGTAGTAAGAATTTGTTTATAGTTATGGAGTTATTTCTTACAAGGGATCTTTTATAATCGTTTGAGTAGGGTAGGTAAGAGATTAGGGCAGGCTGTGTAGAGATATAAAGTGTATGAATAGCTAGGGCTCTGGTCATTGTTTTTGTATAAATTCAGTGTACAGGGATGCTATTGTGGGGAACCAGTGTATATATTTATCTAAGTTTAAGAGGTCAGATCGAAAGATATATTTAGTGTAGAGAGACCCTATATTTAGAGTTGATTGATATCTAGATATATATATAGATGCCACCAGTATTCTTAGTCTGTACTAAGGTCATCCTCGATACTCCAGGGGTTACGATCACTTTAGCTCTCGGCCTCTGCACCCCTGGAACATGTCATGGCAAAATTGAAGGCACAATTGAAGTAATTTTATTGGTTCCAGGAGAAAAATACTGACCAATCACAGTCCGATATGCTCCTTTTTAAAGATTACAAAGGAGCAATACTCAACTTCAAAACCATTACTATATACTGTTATGCAATAATGGTCATCTTCTTTTGAAGTGTTTGTTTTGCATGTGATGGATTATGTGACAAATTTAAAGTTACAAATATATGTATTATTAACTTGTTTAGCCTTTCAGTAATTTCAGTATTTTGATTAGATATATCAATTTTGAACTGTTCAATGAATTTTCTTTATATAATTTCTTGCAGGCCAATTGTTTGTAGTGCCAGATATGGGACAAATCAGAATGATGGGTCAGCAGGACAAAAGTACCCAACAAGACCTAGATCAGCATTCATTATGTTTTACACTGAAAATTTGTCAAAGATAAAGGAGAGTACTGAAGGTATGTGATACGGTGATAATGCCCTATCAAAAACAGTAACTAAGAATTAAAAAAATGTGGGATTCGCTCGAAGGTACATATATGAATAAGATAATAATACTTTGTTCATGGAATATTAAAGAACTAGACTGTGACATTGATAAAGAAAAGGAACTTGACATGGAATGATAAAGTAAATGAACTCCTGAAGCTAAAGTCTTGTTTGAATGATCGGTATAGAAAACTGTGGAATGGACACTATCTACCTATTTTACTCTGAAGGAGAGCCATTATCAAATTTTTAAACAGTGTCGTACATTTTCATTATCAGAATTAATACGCCATTAAATTAGGTGTTTAAATCCTTAAGGAAATCCCATTTTCCATAGAAGTTTGTTCACATTAGGTAAATTTGTCATAAGGAGTACATGGTGGACATGAGTCATGCTAATGCTGTAACATTTCATTGACAGCAAGTGTGGTACAATATCCTGACCAATAAAATGATATAATTGTCTCAAATTTAATCTATAGTCTTAGAGGGGCCAGGGTAGCTCAGACAGTTAGAACATTAAGCTACCTAACCTCAGGAGAAGATCCTAGATTTAAAGATCAACTCTCCCATAGGTGTATGATATATATATGAAGAATTAGTGAAAATGTAGTGTATGAAATATAAGTGAATCAATCTTTTATGAGTGTTTTTGTTATATAAATGAGGTGCAGGTGAAATATGAGTGAATGTAGTATAGGTGAAGGATGAATGAATATATCCTATATAATTAATATACCAGTTGGGTGTGTTGTATAGATGAAGTGAAGGTGATGTGTGAATGTAGGTGTATGATGAGTGACTGAAAGAAGAAAAGCTGAATGGGATATAAAATATAAATGAGAAAGTGTGGTATGTTTATTGTCTTGCAATGTATCCTGTTTGAAGAAAAAAATAAAAAGTTACAAAAAAAAAAAAAAAAAGATCAACTCTCCCTACCAGTGTCAGGTTGGGTTTCTGAGAAATGAACAGGTGAATGCTGACATGGTTGTGTCCACGTTACCCTCAGTACTCGGGATGGCATGCGGTGGGTCTCCTGTATTGTTAAAACTGATTCAGGCTGTTCCCTGGCAATAAACCCAGTAAACTTAACAAATCATAGCCTTGAGGGTCTTTTCTTGAGGAAACTTGTACCTACTTTACTGAACATTGTGTAATAGTACCACCATGCACTATTAGTCTTGGAGTATTTGGGGTGTAGTATCTTGATTTGCTTAAATGCACCATAATACCAGCATAGGATCGTCTCAGATTTTGACATAGCAAGTTTATTATTGAAATTTCTTGAGAAGTACTAGATGGATCTTTCTCAGACTTCACATGTAGTTCTATAGTTGTGCCAGATTGATTTTAGGACTCATTAGATTAGCAAGATGGCTGAGAGTTGACCATCTTGTATTGGGTATGTTAAAATTTTGTATCATTAAGAGCAAAAATAGAGAAGGAAGAGAAAATAAAGAAAAAGAACATAAAGAGATTAAACACTGATGGATGACATGAACCCTCTAGGATTTGTTTTATTTGTTTCAGGAGAAATAGTAAGGCATGTGTATCCTAAAAAGGCAGGAGAAATGTGGCGTGAACTACCAGATGAAGAACGTGAGGTAAGAAAATACATATAAAAAGTTTCACAAAAAGATTGATAAACTAAATCTAGATTACAATACACTGTTTTGTAAACACTATACCTACAGTATTCCTGTATATTATATCTCAATATCATTAAAAACCGCATTCACTGTATTTATTTGGTATTATAGAAGTCCATACCTGTAGTGTAATAAGCCAGCCAAAATCTTCTGCAGTTTTCACTAGAATTACAAACAAATGCTGTGTTATTATAGATATATAAGCCAGCCTCCTGACTTTGAGTCAGAATTTGTATATTTCAAGAAATATAGGGTACATTA